CATGTGCATAGGTCTGGCTGCGTTCCAGGGCACGTTCGAATCGGTCGGCAAGGCTCATGGTCGTTCTGGTCACACGGTTGTGGGGCAATGACTGAAAGATCTCTTGAACCGATCTGTTGGCAAGTGGTTCCTGTCATTGGCTTGGCATGGGTCTCATGCGGCTTTTCGGAAATCATGACCTGTAAACCTGTTACTTGAGATTCGGGTTTCTCTTGTTTCGGTGGATTCTGATTGCTGATGGCTTGATTGAAAGGCATGTTATGTGTATTGGTAGTTACTGTGGTATGTTGAGCCTCGGTTGGATTTCCGCATTGGTCATTTGGATCCTGTTTCTTCTCGGATGCTGCTTCGGTGTTGTCACAATTGGCGAAAGTCTCGGCGGCAGTTGAAAGTTTCAGCGCGCTTTGCACAAGCTCATTCAAATCTACTAAAAACAAACCACGGCTGTTCAAATGAAGCTTGATTGGCTTACACAAAACTGGGCTGTGCAGGCTGCTGGAGGAAACATCGATACTGGATTTCAAGGTCCGAAGCAAGGTATTGGGCAACAGCAAAGGTGTGTGGCCCTGTACAACGGCAATCTTCAAACCAAGGTTACCTATGGGAAGAACAATTGCATGATTGCTATCCAAGAGTCCTTGATTTCCCAATCGAAAAGTCACACTGCATTTGCATCTTTGAACCTTGTTCCGTACCTTCGGATGCAGACTTCGCAGCAAATCTGGTACTAGGGCACTACCAATGACTGATTTGGTTGCCCCGGTGTCAAGGATTCCAAAAGATCCGTAAGTTGCAAAAAGGGCCATCTCGTCGTGTGCGAGATGCACTTGGTTGGTCTTCGGCTCATCTTTCGACACAGGAAAACTGCGGTCGCTCCCACTCATTGGGCATTCACTCCTGGGCTCTGCGATGTCATGTTTTCCCATTAACTTAGTGTTATTTAACCCTGACATCCTATCCCTGATATTAGGATTCCCCTGATTATAGTACTTCTTACCCCGAAAAATCACAGTGAAAGCACTGGCTACTTGCGGATTGGGCTCTTCATCAAGTGTGGCTTCGGATGCTATGGGCAATTGCATGAACTCCAAGGGCAAAAACTCATCGATGGTCTCAGCAGGAGCAGTTTCAATCACGGTGGTCATGGTGGCGGCAGTGGAAGGCACGGCTGAACCTGAACTTCTTGACCTATCAGGACATTCAGCCTTCCAATGGCCACGTTTGCCGCAAATACGGCAAGAGCTTTCCATGATTCTCTGCTGCAAACTCTTTCTAGCTCCCTTGAAGGCACCCTTTCCACGGCCTTTGAAACCTTTGCCACGACCCTTGGAATTTCCAAGGGGCCAGAATCCTCGGTTCTTGGCTCGGTCACTAAGTCTCTTTCTGGCTTCTGTGTAGGCATTCAGGGCAGATGCCAGCTCAGGGTCGTCTTGGATGGCTTCAGTTATGGCTGTTTCATAGTCGCAAATGAAAGCGGCGTCCTCATCGCCCTCTTGGAGAAGCATCTCAAGCATTTCCTCTTCGGACGGATCTTCCATGGTGAAGGCGGTTCCTTCAGCTTCATCGGTCTCTTCGGAAAACAGAGCTGTTGCATCGTACACTTTGCCTTTAGATTTCTTAAGGCCTACCATCTCATGAAAAAACCCGGATCCCAGCATGCGAACTGATTGATTCACCTTGTCGATGGCGAGGACACCTTTTCCAGCTGCATCAGACTCTAGGATGACTTTCTTCTTGTCCTCTTGAGATAGCAGTGATCCCCTGAGTACCACATACGCTTGGATTTCCTCCAGTGAGGTCTTCTTGGATAAAAGTTCTGTCCAGTAAATGTCAGTTCTGGCTAGGTATGAATCATTGGTTTCATCACCACGCTGAGTGCACCTGAAAAGGGCTTTCTCCACCGTCTCATACTTCTTCTCAAGATTCACCTTTCCCCATTGTCCACCTAGGATAGTGACAATGGACTGGATGCCAGCCTGCGTACCTGTCAGAATCACGGATTTCTGCAGTTGCAGCTTCTGAAATGCTGCTCCGGTCGAATTGAGAATGAGTCTAGTGGCCAACTCATTCAGTTTGTCACTCGGCCAGACGTCGGCCAACATCTCAATCTTCTGGGCATACTGTTCTAGGTCATCTTTGGAGGGGTCAAACGATGGCACAAGTGTTGCAAGCTGTGTCGAAACACTGTTCGTCGCCTTTTCCTCAGTCTCGGAACCCATGCTCAAAACTGGGTGGTGCGTCACTCAAAATTCTGGTCACGCCACACTTGCTAGAAATGAATTGGCACCCTGGAGCTAGTGGTAGCTCCGCTACCAATCTGAATGGGGTTCAGAAAGGTAGCCACACCAAGAAATGCAAACTCCAATGCACGGCCTCGCACACTTTTCCAGCAGATCTCGGAATGAAATGTCCCAGTCTCCAATCGACGGCAAAATATTGTCCACAGCAAGCGAAATGAGTCGACCACGACTCAATGGCACAAATGGGGTGCCACAAGCACTTCCCACCCACCAATCCCTAGGCTGTCCTCAGCCAAGTGCTGCAGTCAGCGGCAGTGATTAAAGTGTGTCTGGACCTGGTGTTCTGGAGTGAAGTGGACACTGGAACATGTTGAAATTCACATTATATATGTATATATGTATATATGTGTATATGTATATATATATATATGTATATATATATGTATATATGTATATATATGCATATATGTATACACGTACATGCATGTATGTATATATATATACACATGAGCGTACATGCATATATATATAGATACATACGTACATGCATATATATATATATGCATGGATTTTACGTATGTATGTATATATATATATATGTATATATATATATATACACTGGGATATACACATGCATATATATATATATACATACACTGGTATGTACACATACATACATGTATATGTATGTAATGTAATGTAATGTAATGTGTAATATGTAATGTGTAATATGTAATGTGTAATATGTAATGTAATGTAATGTAATGTAATGTATGTATGTATGTAATGTAATGTATTGTAATGTAATGTAATGTATTGTATTGTATTGTAATGTAATGTAATGTAATGTAATGGTATGTATGTATATGTATATGTATATGTATATGTATATGTATATGTATATGTATATGTATATGTACATGTCCATGTAAATGTATATGTATGTGTATGTGTATGTGTACGTGTATGTGTATGTGTATGTGTATGTGTATATATATATACATATGTAATGTACTTATGTATATTTATGTGTATATACGTATACTAAACCTGTGTGAAGGAATCGCTTTCAACTCGCCACTGGAGTCTGCAGTTTTTGAGCCGATTCTCCTTGAGCCGCGCAGGAGGATAAGACTGCAGCACATGGGAACTGCACCTATGAGGCACAGGGTGGAGGTTGAGTTTTTTCACTTTGTTGATAGGTATTTCTATCAACACAGATGATTACAAATCCATGCATTCTAGTAACCCTCAACAATTCATAATACAGTGATATCTTAGGGCGTTGCTATATTGTACGGATACATGCAGTATATACATATACATATGCAGTACATGTAGATGTATATACATGTAGGGCCGTGATCTCAGTGCATACGCAAGCAACGATAGAGTAGCCAGCAACTATGACCTTGTTGAATTGTCTTTCCTGTCTTTCTGGATGGTGAAACCATGGTTTTATGGTTTCAGAATCTAGAATGTTCTGTGAATTCTGTGATCAACATGATCCTCAAATGACCTCACCAGAAATCATGGCTGTCTCATGTCCCAGGTTTGGGTTGATCTTTTCATATGTTTTCCTCACAATGATGGAGCCTCCATTTCCATCCAGGAACCGGAGAAATGGCCAGACCTCGCGCTGGAAGATATCTTTGGCCCAGCGGCTCGGCCCATTTCGTCGGAGTCTCCAAAAGATGGTGGGATTTTGGAGGTTTACTCGTATATGGAGGTTTCCCCAGCCACCCAACCACTATTAAGCTGGAGCATGCTGGAATTATGTTTGGGAAAATCTCTGTTTTTTTTTAATGAATACTTCAAACAGTCATAGAAACATATACCCTCTGGTTATGACTAACAGTTCGCCATGGAAAATCACCATTTTTAAGTTCGGTAAACCATCTATTTCTATGGGCCATATATACCATGGCGAACTGTTAGTCATAGCCAGATGGTAGAAACTAAAGATTTAGTTCGCAGTTGGGGGTGTTGCAAATGGACCCAACGAACTGCGTCTCAGGAGGTGAAACCCAACACGGCGAGGATGCTACAGCTTGTGGGCCAGTGTCGTAGCTTGGTGACAGATGGAGCTGTGAACGGAGAGGCAACATATCATCTATACAACTATAGAATACTATAGAGATATTCCACATTTCACTAGGGATATTCCACATACAATCAGCTGGGAAGAAACATGTGAAATTATAGTACAATTACTGTATATTAGAATGGCCCACAGTCACCCATCTAGCTAGTTCAATATATCTGAAATAGACACCAGTTGAGCAAGTTACACACCAAGTTACCTATTGTTTTGGGGCCGCTTGTTGCAGGTATGATGGAAAAAAACCTGCCTGGTGTTGGGAGTGAAAAGGAGTCCAGGAAAGAATTTTACTGCAATTGCTAGGGCAAGAGATGACACACGTTCAAGAAGCATGAATTCGACGTTGGCTATCAATGGTGTGTCTCCAAAACATTGGGTGTGGGATGGTATGAAATCTAAGATCGTGCGAACCACAAAATCGAGTCATTTTTGGTATGATGAACCATCTTGTCTTTGGTGTACCTCAACTGTGAAACGTACCTAGAATGAAGCAGTATGCTGGCCAAACCTCTCAGTTTTTGGTGTGTATATATATATATATCTCGCTGTTTTGCAGGTGTTAGCACCACATCCTAAGCGGTGCTTTTTTCCATGCTGAAAACCGGCGGTCACCATCATGGCGCTGAAGTCTTTGTGGCTCGCCAGGCTGCATTTTAGCGATGTATGCGCAGATCTTGGTCCAAGATCCCATCGACCATGAGCTGCACACCAAGGCAGTCCCCAAGGCCAGTTTTTTTCCTCGGAAGTGGAGAATGGATACAGTGGACCTGGATAGTGACAAACAATAAATGGGGGCAAATTTCAATAATTTGATGGGTAATATCTTACAGATATTTGCCAAAATGATGTGGGTGTAGGATTTACACGCAATTTATGGCCATTTTGATAGGGATAATTTGCTTTTGTACAACCATGGGATGGTATGGGGTACACATTTGTCTCAGACAATCCCGCTCCCTTTTGTGAACTTCAAAATGCAAAAAGTATTCAGGTCTGGATCAAACTTGGATACTCCAACAATTGGATGGTTGCGGTTATAAATTGAACAACCCGGTCCACTGGGTTTTGATTTTGACCCATACATACCCATACCCATTTGTGCAAAGATGTTTGCACCATGGGAAAGTGCGGAAGCATGTTGAAAAAATCTACAAGGTGATGCCCGCCTGTATACAATATTCAACATCCATAAATCATCATAAATCCTAGTTACACTACTCACAACAGCAACGGCCCTTAAATATTTTGATGTGGTGTTTCCCAAGTGCCGTCATCCCAGTTTCGGACCCTGTGGATGTGATCCCACTTTCTTGTTGCAGGTAAGCTAACATAGATATGGAAAATCCACCATGAAAGTGTATAGATCAATCCGAACCTAAAACAACCGCCACAGAATAGAAATTTGATGAAATTTGGCTATGTTACTGTAGCTGCTTAGAAAATTGATTTTCCACCAACGGTACGTCCAGGTGCACAACTTGTTGCAGACTCAGAACCCCTCCTTCCGTTCAGTGTGCCGTTCCATGCGTCTCTATTTGCTGTGCCTCGGTCTTTTCGAATACACAGATCTTACACCCCTTCTTGTGTGTGTATTGTGTATATATATATATATATATTTACGTATGTACATATATATATATATAGAAAGAATGTATATATGTGATACACATGTCCAGATTATATATTGATATGCAGATACATTATATATGGTGTGTGTATATAGTATTATGTGGGTGCCTAGTGGGATGCTTTATCATTTGGCTTACCCCATTTGAGTTAAGATACAAATTATTTCATATGGGTGAATGAGTTTGAGCTCACCATGACGTCAACGAAGACGACGGTCACTAGCGGGAGGTACCTTCAAGTCTTTTCAACTGGTGAATGAACATGATTTGGCCATATGCAGAATACGTACATATATGATCATAGTTGTCTATGTACATCCACATCGTATACAGTATATATATATATATACATGTATACATGCATACACGTCTGCATGTGTGGAAACAAGCACATGTTGATGGCATGTACTGTACCTATGAATAAAAACAGGTGGGTTCCGATCGCTGCCAGCCGGCAAACCAGCCGACCAACCCATCCTCATTCTGCTCGGTCAACTTCAACACATCGGTTGAAATATACACATATGTGTGCGGGTAGGTATACATGCATATATACATGAATGAGTATACATACGTGTACACATACACACGCACATATATATATATGATATGTATATATATATATATACATAAATACATATACACTCATATATATATATATATATGGTTCATGGATGTATAGATATAGTTCCATAGACGTATAGATGGGTTAGATGGATTCATGGATAGATAGATGGATGATGCAGGATCTTGGTTAAAGCAGGCAGAATACTCTACGTACTTTAATCCTGAAGGATTTGATGCTGCCAAGAGGGTGGTCAGGATGCCACATAAATGAGGTCAGTGACAAGAACGTGTGGCTTATGTTCACCAATCTATCTACCCGTCCATTCATCCATCCACCCATCCATGTACCATCATCAGTATAAGCCCCATCAAGATAGAACAAGTAAGTTACCACTCTTTTAGATTCGGATTTTACGTGTATATATATATATATGTATATCTCCATCTTATATATACATATATGTCCACGATTTTACTAACCTCTATCCTTTTGGGGGTCCACAGATTCTCCCCTGGTTTTGCGTTCGGAACGTCAGGAAGTGCATGGAACGCGCGCGCGGCCTGTCGTTCGTTCGCGGCACCCTGGCAGAGGAGCCGCTCTCCGAGACCAACTGGGTCAAGATGCTCGGTGCAACGGGGTGCAACGGGGTGCAACGGGGATATGCCATGGGGTGAAAACCTGGAGGTTTATAGTGGTTAAACTGCGGATGTTTCATGGTTAATGATGGTCTATCATGGTTTTGAATGGTTTTTCTTGTGGTTGAAAGTTGGTTGCTGTAACTCTGGGGGCTTTCAACCACCAATGGGGCCGACAATGGGGAATTCTAAGATATTCTAAGCACCAAGAAATCTGGCGGGTCGACCAGGTTGACTATAATAAAATCAGGAACGGGTTTTAACGACAAAAAAGGTGTCAATTAATTTGAGCAACGAAGATTGGACTCCTGAACCGGTCAAACATGTGGCTAGCAGCATCAGGTATGGGGTGTTTTAACCACAATATACATGGGAATTAAACCACTGACAATCGGATATAAGGTGTCAAACATGAAATATGAACCAAGAATAGTTGAAGATGTTGAAGGTTGACTGGTTAAACCAAATGGTTCTGACTGACAGTTCATGTACACTATTTTTGCTGTAGTGTATTTCAGATTCGCCATGGCAAGTTGCTGAGCTGTGAGCCACACAACCTGACCTGTAAAGTTGACCTAAGTCATGGGGTGGGGCCCCCAGTCATCATCCAGCTATGAGTTCCGGGTTTTCCATGAAAGAAACCATCCAGCTATTGGGGTAGCACATTGTAGGAATCCTCCATTCATTTTTTCATATGTTTATTCATAGTCTATCGTTGTCTATGGGAAATTCCGCCCCTATCAACGGCCACTGGAGGTGGGCAATTGTGGCCCATACACAGCGGGTATCTGCTTCAGGCTATGGATATATCATGATATATATATATATATATGTACATACACGAATGTCCATATCAACTTAGATATGTACTGGTATATACATGTATATACGAATATATATATATATATACATACACTATATATATAGATATACACACATGTCTACAGATGATATAGATATTCATCTACGTCAAGCTTCACCGTTTCCTCAGGGAATGGCGCGACCTGCACGACATCGACTTTGAGAAGTTCATCGGTGACTTTTCGCAGCGGCATCCACTGGTAGCCTCAGGTATCATCAAACATGGCTAGTTGGGAAATCCATGGGAAATCCCCTAACAATGGAGGTTTTGGTGGAAAAAATCACCATTCGTTTGAATAATTTAAAGATCTACATTCATGGGCCATGGCTTCCACAGCAAACTCTTAAATTACCAGAGGGTAGTGATCTATGATTCACTAATTATTCACGAGTTCTTCGGTATTCACTAATTATCCATTATTTGTTCATAATTATGACTGAAAAACTAAGATTTATTATTAAAATGAGTAGTCACTCACTAGTTATTAATTACCTATCCATTATTTGTCCATATCTATTCACAATAAAATCACCATGGAACTATCCCGGTAATCAAACACGGCAATGTAACCAGAACATCCACTTGCTTCAACAGTTTAAACATATATGAATATATGGTAAGCGGCCCCTCCAGGGCCTACCTTGAAGCCACTGGAGGTTACCCTACTGTTTACATATAGAATGGGCTAGCGCCCTGTGCCGCCGACCCCCCCTTTGTGGGGGTGGCAGGGCAGGATCAGTAAATAAAACCACAGGAGAAGTAAAGACTTTCAAGACCTACACGAAACAGACCGGTGGGAGCTCGAGTTGAGTCCAGTTTGTCTACCTGCGCATTTGGGAGGAGCTTCTAGGATTTTTCCAGAACAGGTCCTTGACGGGTGGGTTGCGCATCCTGGCACTACGTTCTGATGCTAAACCAACCTTCACTGTAGCAATTTCTGGCCGCAATGGTATCGGTTCGAAGTGTTACTTCCATTTGGGCAATGTTTTGTCGTTGGGATTATGTTTCAATTAGTGAAGAGGCAGCAAAGGATGTGAAAAGAAACCTGAACAATTGAACGTTTCTGCTATGTGCTGCATTTCAATTCAACAACGAAAGTTGGTCAGCCTGTGCTTGCCTTTGACCTTCTTGTTGAGTCATGACTCCTGTGGCGATTCAACCATATGAATTTAATTTGCTGATGGTATTGCAGCGACAGCTGACAAATTTGGGAATGGTCCACGCCTCAACATGGGATAGTTTGCTGCCAAAGATCTTTTCACTATTGTCTGGCGTGGGGGAGGAGGCCTTGGTGGAAGCTGCCGCGGAGGGTTTTAGGGGTCTTAAGGGTTTGAAGGCTGGCAAACGGCAGGCTCGAATGCCCTAACAAGAGAGGGCTATGTGCAGGCAAAGGAGGGTTTTAGGCATTTTAGGGGTTCAGAGGGCTTGGTGGAAGCTGCCGCGGAGCGTTTTAGGGGTTTTAAGGGTTTGAAGGCTGGCAAACGGCAGGCTCGAATGCCCTAACAAGAGAGGGCTATGTGCAGGCAAAGGGCAGGCTGCAACCCTGGAGCAGCAAAGGCTGACGGCCAGAGGCCTTGGTGGAAGCTGCCGCGGAGGGTTTTAGGGGTTTTAAGGGTTTGAAGTCTGGCAAACGGCAGGCTCGAATGTCCTAACGAGAGAGGGCTATGTGCAGGCAAAGGAGGGTTTTAGGCATTTTAGGGATTCAGAGGGCTTGGTGGAAGCTGCCGCGGAGCGTTTTAGGGGTTTTAAGGGTTTGAAGGCTGGCAAACGGCAGGCTCGAATGCCCTAACAAGAGAGGGCTATGTGCAGGTAAAGGGCAGGCTGCAATGCTGGAGCGCTGACAGCCAGGAGCTTGGTGGAAGCAAAGGCTGACGGCCAGAGGCCTTGGTGGAAGCTGCCGCGGAGCGTTTTAGGGGTTTTAAGGGTTTGAAGGCTGGCAACCGGCAGGCTCGAATGCCCTAACAAGAGAGGGCTATGTGCAGGTAAAGGGCAGGCTGCAATGCTGGAGCGCTGACGGCCAGGAGCTTGGTGGAAGCAAAGGCTGACGGCCAGAGGCCTTGGTGGAAGCTGCCGCGGAGTGTTTTAGGGGTTTTAAGGGTTTGAAGGCTGGCAAACGGCAGGCTCGAATGCCCTAACAAGAGAGGGCTATGTGCAGGCAAAGGGCAGGCTGCAACTCTGGAGCAGCAAAGGCTGACGGCCAGAGGCCTTGGTGGAAGCTGCCGCGGAGGGTTTTAGGGGTTTTAAGGGTTTGAAGGCTGGCAAACGGCAGGCTCGAATGTCCTAACGAGAGAGGGCTATGTGCAGGCAAAGGAGGGTTTTAGGCATTTTAGGGGTTCAGAGGGCTTGGTGGAAGCTGCCGCGGAGCGTTTTAGGGGTTTTAAGGGTTTGAAGGCTGGCAAACGGCAGGCTCGAATGCCCTAACAAGAGAGGGCTATGTGCAGGCAAAGGGCAGGCTGCAATGTTGGAACGCTGACGGCCAGGAGCTTGGTGGAAGCTGCCGCGAGGGATGGACGGCCAGAGGGCTTGGTGGAAGCTGCCGCGAGGGATGCGCAGGCAAAGGGCAGGCTGCAACCCTGGAGCAGCAAATGCTGACGGCCAGAGGGCTTGGTGGACGCTGCCGCGGAGGGTTTTAGGGGTTTTAAGGGTTTGAAGGCTGGCAAACGGCAGGCTCGAATGCCCTAACAAGAGAGGGCTATGTGCAGGCAAAGGGCAGGCTGCAATGCTGGAACGCTGACGGCCAGGAGCTTGGTGGAAGCTGCCGCGAGGGATGTGCAGGCAAAGGGCAGGCTGGAACCCTGGAGCAGCAAAGGCTGACGGCCAGAGGGCTTGGTGGAAGGTGCCGCGGAGACGGCCAGAGGGCTTGGTGGAAGCTGCCGCGGAGCGTTTTAGGGGTTTTAAGGGTTTGAAGGCTGGCAAAGGGCAGGCTCGAATGCCCTAACAAGAGAGGGCTATGTGCAGGCAAAGGGCAGGCTGCAATGCTGGAACGCTGACGGCCAGGAGCTTGGTGGAAGCAAAGGCTGACGGCCAGAGGCCTTGGTGGAAGCTGCCGCGGAGGGTTTTAGGGGTTTTAAGGGTTTGAAACCCTGGAGCAGCAAAGGCTGACGGCCAGAGGCCTTGGTGGAAGCTGCCGCGGAAGGTTTTAGGGGTTTTAAGGGTTTGAAGGCTGGCAAACGGCACGCTCGAATGTCCTAACGAGAGAGGGCTATGTGCAGGCAAAGGAGGGTTTTAGGCATTTTAGGGGTTCAGAGGGCTTGGTGGAAGCTGCCGCGGAGCGTTTTAGGGGTTTTAAGGGTTTGAAGGCTGGCAAACGGCAGGCTCGAATGCCCTAACAAGAGAGGGCTATGTGCAGGCAAAGGGCAGGCTGCAATGCTGGAACGCTGACGGCCAGGAGCTTGGTGGGTTTTAGGGGTTTTAAGGGTTTGAAGGCTGGCAAACGGCAGGCTCGAATGTCTTAACAAGAGAGGGCTATGTGCAGGCAAAGGGCAGGCTGCAATGCTTGAGCGGCAGGCTGACGGCTAGAGGGCTTGGTGGAAGCTGCCGCGAGGGATGTGCAGGCAAAGGGCAGGCTGCAACCCTGGAGCAGCAAAGGCTGACGGCCAGAGGCCTTGGTGGAAGCTGCCGCGGGGGGTTTTAGGGGTTTTAAGGGTTTGAAGGCTGGCAAACGGCAGGCTCGAATGTCCTAACGAGAGAGGGCTATGTGCAGGCAAAGGAGGGTTTTAGGCATTTTAGGGGTTCAGAGGGCTTGGTGGAAGCTGCCGCGGAGCGTTTTAGGGGTTTTAAGGGTTTGAAGGCTGGCAAACGGCAGGCTCGAATGCCCTAACAAGAGAGGGCTATGTGCAGGCAAAGGGCAGGCTGCAATGCTGGAACGCTGATGGCCAGGAGCTTGGTGGAAGCTGCCGCGAGGGATGTGCAGGCAAAGGGCAGGCTGCAACCCTGGAGCAGCAAAGGCTGACGGCCAGAGGGCTTGGTGGAAGGTGCCGCGGAGACGGCCACAGGGCTTGGTGGAAGCTGCCGCGGAGCGTTTTAGGGGTTTTAAGGGTTTGAAGGCTGGCAAACGGCAGGCTCGAATGCCCTAACAAGAGAGGGCTATGTGCAGGTAAAGGGCAGGCTGCAATGCGCGCTGACGGCCAGGAGCTTGGTGGAAGCAAAGGCTGACGGCCAGAGGCCTTGGTGGAAGCTGCCGCGGAGGGTTTTAGGGGTTTTAAGGGTTTGAAGGCTGGCAAACGGCAGGCTCGAATGCCCTAACAAGAGAGGGCTATGTGCAGGCAAAGGGCAGGCTGCAACCCTGGAGCAGCAAAGGCTGACGGCCAGAGGCCTTGGTGGAAGCTGCCGCGGAGGGTTTTAGGGGTTTTAAGGGTTTGAAGGCTGGCAAACGGCAGGCTCGAATGTTCTAACGAGAGAGGGCTATGTGCAGGCAAAGGAAGGTTTTAGGCATTTTAGGGGTTCAGAGGGCTTGGTGGAAGCTGCCGCGGAGCGTTTTAGGGGTTTTAAGGGTTTGAAGGCTGGCAAACGGCAGGCTCGAATGCCCTAACAAGAGAGGGCTATGTGCAGGCAAAGGGCAGGCTGCAATGCTGGAACGCTGACGGCCAGGAGCTTGGTGGGTTTTAGGGGTTTTAAGGGTTTGAAGGCTGGCAAACGGCAGGCTCGAATGTCTTAACAAGAGAGGGCTATGTGCAGGCAAAGGGCAGGCTGCAATGCTTGAGCGGCAGGCTGACGGCTAGAGGGCTTGGTGGAAGCTGCCGCGAGGGATGTGCAGGCAAAGGGCAGGCTGCAACCCTGGAGCAGCAAAGGCTGACGGCCAGAGGGCTTGGTGGAAGCTGCCGCGGAGCGTTTTAGGGGTTTTAAGGGGTTGAAGGCTGGCAAACGGCAGGCTCGAATGCCCTAACAAGAGAGGGCTATGTGCAGGCAAAGGGCAGGCTGCAATGCTGGAACGCTGACGGCCAGGAGCTTGGTGGAAGCTGCCGCGAGGGATGTGCAGGCAAAGGGCAGGCTGCGACCCTGGAGCAGCAAAGGCTGACGGCCAGGAGCTTGGTGGAAGCAAAGGCTGACGGCCAGAGGCCTTGGTGGAAGCTGCCGCGGAGAAAAGTTCCACACCTGCGGTGGTCCCAGGCGCCGCCCCGGCCTTGGCGAAGGCCGGGGTCGGCGGATATTGTGAATGAAAAGCATGTCATGTCATTTGAAAAATACTGGAAAATACACAGATTACGCAGTAAAACGCAGTTGGGAAAATTATATTAAGATGAATGAATGACATGAACTCAATGATAAGGAGCACTTTTAGAGAGTCAAAAATTGGCCTCCAAAAGCAGTCCGAGCAAAAACAAGTCTCTGAAGAATCACATGTAATTTGGATAATAACGCTAATCACTGAATGTAACCTTAGGAAAACCAAACAAACAACAATCTTTTGGAACAGAAAAGATGGTTTCAGCCAAAAAAATTGGATTTGTGGTTTTACCTTAGTTTTTTTTTTGTTTCCTCGAGAGGGTCTTTGTTTTTTTGGTTTTGGACTCCAAAAAACCAAACAAAACTCATGGAAAAACACGTTTTTTCATTAAAAACATATTATTTCACCTTCTTGGAGGAATTGTGGTTTGTACGTGAGTGTATGCGAAACTTTGTAAAAGGAGATCTGCATATGTTACATTAAACATGTTTATTTGAGAAGAAGATCTGCTTCCAACAAAATTGCATTTGTTTAAAGAAAAGGTGTCTCCTTAAAAACAAACCGGCACTTCTTTAAAGGATTCCAACTGTTTGAAAGGAAGGGTGCTTGTTGTAAGTAATCCTGCATCCTTTGAATAAAACGTGTATGTTGAAAGCTGAATCTTTTTACCATAGACTGCTGCTTTAAGAAAGAGTTTCTTGAACTTCAAGTACTACTATATAAATATTATATTTGAAGGGAATAAGTCATGTATTCCTTTTTGTGAAGCGATACAACACATTTCGAAGACAATAATGCATGTGTTTGCAAGCAGTGTTGAGGGAAGACTGTGCTTTTCAAAGTGTGTTGTGTGTGTGTTTGTGTGTATATACTGTGCACTCAACTTTCTGAAAGGGAAACTGCCTACTTGACATAAAATACATTTGATGATGGAACACACAATTGAATGCAGTCATTCCTGCTTGCAGGATTCAAGATAACGATCCAGGGACCTGGATCAAATTTGAAGCTCCCAGAAACCAAAACCGATGCTTTCAAGCTCCTAGAAGCTACTCATGAATGATATTGAAGTTCCACTGGGTTCAGATTGTTCTCTTCATAAAAATGTGTTTTTGAAAAGGGCATGGATCCAAATGCTGACGCCGGTCCTTTTTGACTTGAAATGATCGAGAATGATGACAAAGTGGTTTTTGAAGTGCTATTAAAGTAAATATGTCAGTATTTAGAAATTAATTTCGGTTATCTACAGATATATGATATATCTCTCTTTTAAGACTTACTTATGATAATCAAAATTAAAATCTTTGAAAAGGTAGGCATTGGAGGGGCCGCTTAGCGAATCTTAGCGGATACATATATATATATATACATATGTTTTTTCGGCGTGTGTTCCCATTGCCAACCAAGAGTGCTCGATGTGATAGTTTTGGTCAATACCAATCAGACAATTTTTGAGGAATGAACATTAATTTACCACCTTTTTTCGTTGTGTGAAAATCCGGGGATTTCAGGGTTTTGATACATAGCCGAACGAAGATTCACTTAGAATAATATCTGAACAGCACCAAAATCTGATTTGGGTGATAGAATCTTAGAATATCTTTGAAATATCCGTTTCCCCATAGGTTTTTGGTGATTGATTGATGTATCTCAGAGCCCACAGATCTGCCCCTGTTTTCATGTAAAAAATCGCGAGCAAGGTGCTGCGTTGGTGCCCAAGTGGAACCCCTTCCTGGGCGAGTCGCAGGTGGAAAACGCTGGATATTTCAAGCTTCCATTTGAAATGGCGATGTACAGTAGAATTAACGAGTAAATCGCACAATCTTTAAGTAATTGATGGGCAAATGACAGCTTATGGGTAGATCATGGTAGATCTGAAAAATATATAAATCTTATCAATCTACCTTAAATAGTATAGTTGGGATTTATGGATGGTCATCTCCCCCAAAATGTGCTGTTAATACCATATCCCCCTTTATCATCATAACCTCAAGATTTTCGGATAAGAAGTTTGAAACAAACCGTTAGTTTGCCATTCCCCTAATCGTCCATGTGTTTCAATGCAAAGAAGTGGGATTTTAAATGGATATCAACCTCAAGATTTGGGTGGTGAAAAAAAAGGTTTGTACTCATACCGCCGATTTATGGCCAAAGGTAAACCATGATAAACCATCAATATTTGAGGTACGGTTTTGTATTTTCAGACAACATGGTTCAATCAATTGAAAATAACCCTTTGGTAGTCCAAAATAGCCATTGAAAGTGGTCCACATTCATGGGCGATTTTCCATGGCTGCTGTAAATTATAGTGACCTCAAAGTGACCTCAGCGGAATCATAGTTGGTAAGGGGAATCATCCCCATGTGAGGCCTTATTTCAGGTTAGTCCAGAAACCAACTCAGGGGGTTTAGGGTTTCCAGGGTGGACATTCATTTGCCATGCGAACAAGGACCATCACTGGGATTCCATGGCAATAATGTCAGTAGCTCATACAGAGGACAATTAGTTTTATGCGCATATCGAACGTATATGAACGTATCATGTACATGAACTGATGTGTCATAAGTGTCATATGCATGATTTAGATGCATAACTTTTGTTATGTGAATATGCTTATAGATTCTAGATATCAAAGTATGCACACAATTTACAAACTGCAAAGAGCTTGGAAATGTAGATCTATCCATACACGCATCGCATAGAGGTCTACGAAGGCCAAAAAGGTTTCGATCAGGTTTAATTCTACTACAATTAAAAGAAACACACATCTCCAACATGATTTGTTTTCTTTTTTTTTATGACTTCCCCATAAAAATCAATATATATATATATAATCCTATAAAATCCATGAATTTTGGGTGATTTTCCCAGCTGGGTCCCAGCCTTTGTCTCCATCCGCAACACGGGGACGCCCGGGTTTTCCGGGGCATCCCGGGTGTCAGGACCTGGCAGAGTATCGCGAGGCCACGGTGGCGGTCATGGAATTGATGACGACCACCAGCACGGCCAAACTCACCAGGTATGCGTTGCTGGGCCAAACTCACCATGGCTTGGGGATTTTTGTGGATATGACTAATATCTAACACATATTGTAATATGTATATATATATATATATTCTTGTCATATATTATTACTATTATCATTATTATTATTATTACAAACTTTATTATTCATATATATATAATTATATATATACACATACTAACTATTTCAGGTGTTATGGGGATATATACCCAACTAAAAAGACAAGTTGTAAATAGATTTGAACGACAAAAAATTGCTGTGAGTCACTGGAACGATGGCAGCCGATGGCAATTGGATTGGGGGTACCGCCAAATGGCTTAACCTTTCAGGATCGTGACATAATATGATTTACATTGATTGACTGTATCCAGATGGTTCAAACGACTAAAAAGAACGAGTGGATGCGTTGCGGATTCTGAGGCGTCATTGATTTCGTACAGGTATATGGTACTAGATATTTCTCAATGGTTGTTTCCCACTGGGAAAATGATCTACATTCATGGTGAATTTCCTATATCCATTTTTTAATCTACTGGAGGGTCCCAAAGCCACTGGGGCGAGGACTTGGTGTCCTAAGACGGGGCTACCGCAATAGCTGGATGGTTGATTTCATGGAAGATCCGAAAATAAGATGGATGATTTAGAGGTAGCCCTATTTTTTTTTTTGGAAACCTTCATCATATTATATGTAATCATATATATATAGTTACATAGTTATATATATATACAATCATAATATAATGATATCTATCTATACCATCCAGGGACTTCACCAAGTGCCCCGGAACCCCGCGTTCCGACGCCTCGATCGACGAAGTCCAAGGCAAGACATCTCGCTCCTTCCCGAAGAAAAGCGCCGCAAGCACGTGGGAGGTCGGAGCGCGTAGACCGAAGTGAGGCTTTAACGGTTTAGGGGCTAGAAAACCAACAGGAAATGAGGCCTTGACCATTGGGACCATGAAAAACTATAGGTAAATGATACTAGTTACTGATAATATAATCAACAGGAAGAATAAGAATAGTAATGATAACCATAATATTATATAGTAATATGAGTAGAGCTAACAATACCAACCATGGGTGGGTAAATATGGAATGATGCGGAGATATGAACATCCATGTGGGGATGTATGAAAATGGTGTTTGGACCAAAAAAGTAATGACTTCATCATCCAAATAAAGGGTATCAACTTTATCAACCATCAAAATAGGGAGCAAAAGCCAACAACGAACGGGGGATGTAAGGAATAATCATGGTGTTTTACCCACAAAAAAATGTTTTTTGGTTCACACTGTTTGAGGTCTGGCCGAAGTTTTTGGCGGATTTGGACCAAACATGGGGGTATTTTATACCCTTGAATAGCGGCAATATTTTAATGGGAAACATCATGACAATCCCTTTGAAAAATCGGTTGGTCAATGGATTGATCCTAGGCTTGAAGGGAAAATATATCACAAGAATATTCAGAACTCACTGTGTCTCTCTATCTTTTTCAATATATGTATATACATATGATATAGGTACACATAATATTTACATATACACAATATATATATATGTACATATTGAATATGTACATATTGAATATGTACATATTGAATATGTAGAAATACATATATATATATATATACACACATATTCTGCACCTGCTACGGTAGTGATACCTCATACCCCATCATGCTTCAATTACTTTGACGACGTCATGGCACCTGAGGCCTGTTGTTGGCTGTTTGCCAAGAGCCTGGCTTGCTGGCAGCGCTGGAGGCCGGTGTCCTTTTGGATGCTGAGGAGAGGTTTCATTTATCCCTTGCAACACAAAATACGCCCTCTAACTTTAGCGTGGAACACGAAAAAACAATGTGCAATAATAGGAAAATCATTTTCCACATGAGGTTCAATGTTGAATTTGGGAGGTGTACCCCCCAAGAACCCCTGTTTTACTGCAGATATATTTTTTTGGCAGGCCCATACGGGGAAGTCTGATATTTGGAGGATATTTTTTTTTTTTGGGTGAAGCAAACCAGCTGGAGGTTTCAAATATTGGTTGACCCAGTTGGGCCCATTCGCTTCGACAATTCCAGATGTGTAGGATTATAGCAATCGGTTTGGGATACTTATATCATATATAGGATAGTTCCATTGATGGAACAGTTCCATATAATTACGGGTTTACTATAACTATCCTATCTTTCCATATCAATGTCTGAGTTGCGAAAACCACGCAGTATATAACATGCAAATTAACGGTAGCTGCCACCAAATCTAACGCCTGAAATCCTGGTTGATGATAGTTCAGATTCGCCCTTGTTTCTTGGTGTTTCTTGATGTTTCTTGGTGGTTAATAAATCCGAAACATAAACCACACATTGTTGGATGGTCGCGTTTTTTTGCATTTTTTTTGGGGGGTGGTTACCTGAATGCCATGATCAGAAGCACAATTATAGTGAATGGGGTAGCCCAAAATCCCATGGTTGATCACCAGATTTGGGTTTGTTTTGCAGTTTTGCATGTTTTTCTTTGTTGGGGGGTATACTCAATTCTTCAGTAGTTTTTTTTTTCCATTTGTTCCCCCCACCGTACAGTCATAGGGCCCCCATAGCCCAATAAACCCATGGTTATATGGTTATACCTACTAATAATAATCATATATATATATAATATATATATACATAATATATATATATATACATAATATATATATATACATAATGGCCTGCAATAATCATTATTTCACCATATATTATCCACCAACCTATAATCAAAAGACTACTGTAACTCCAATTGAAGATAGTTTTACTTAAAATGATTCAATCATTTCCCATCTGATCCCAGCAAACGGTCCCCCTGTCAGATAGTGTGATACATTCTTAATGACTGTAGCTTCTTTGCTTAAGGAGTTGTAAGGTGGGGGCCGGCTACCAGTCCTGGTCCCCTCACTCTCGTTGGAGCTGGTGGTGTCTGCCTCTCTGGGTGGACATCGCTGTGAGTCTCTGACTTGAGTGAGGAGGATCTATGGCTGGTGAGCGCTTGGGCCCCTGGAGGAAAACGGGACAGAAAGCAGATGCCCGACACTATGAGGGCTTACAGATTGGCTGCATCTTTGAGTTTGCTGCCTACGATGACCGGCATCGTCAACAGGGCCGGGTGGTGGCTTGCCTGACAGCGGCAGCCCTGGAAAGCAACATTGCTGGTGGACGAGTTTATGAAGGACAAGTCTTAGCTGTGGAAGACGGCTACTACGAATACTGGTTCGAAAACCTCTACGGTAAGATCCAGGATGCTCCAGTCACCTTCTTTCACTTCTGCGATGTGCCGGTTGCAGTGTGCAGAAGCCACACAGCATTCAGGGATCCGATTCATGTGGACGTCTACCGACTGGTCAGTGGCACTCAGGTGGAACGTCTAAGCTGGCTGAAGGAAGACCAGAAAGCTTGGCTGAAAGCACACCCCGCAGTCATCGGGGGGAGGGACGCTCCTGGGAGTGGGGGTCATCCTGCTCCTGGGGCAGCACCTCCTCTGGATGCTGCGCGTGGCGAGGTGCAGACAGGTGAAGAAGGCGTGGAAGGCTTAGCTAGGGCCTTAGGGGCTGGACAGGATGCCAACAAACGACCTGCCAGTGAGAGAGGTGGCACGCCTGCGGATGAGCGTCGGCATGAAAAGAAGGAGCGAAGAGACCGGAAGCCTCACAAGAGGTCACCCTCTCCTGGACGTGAAGAGCGTGGTCGCAAGGCTGCTCGGGGTGAGGCCCATGAGCGAGGACGAGTGGGATTGCGTGCGGAACTTGACAAGAAGGTCCCTCCTGAACCTCGTCTTTCAGCTCTCGAGCTGGGGTCCAAGCACAAAAAGAAGAAGAAAAAGAAAAGCGGAAGCTCGAGCAGTGACCGTGCCCGTGGTCGCAGCCCCTCATCGACATCTAGCACAGGGTCGCTTTTTCATTCAGCCGCCCTTCCAAGAGGCATGGAACGCCTCCGACGCCTGCACCAGAAAAGCCCAGGAAATCTGGCCTCCCTAAGCCTCTTGCGAATGCAGGAGCTGGTGCATCGAGCGCAGGGAAGGGGAACGGCAGTGGACAGCGACGAGAAGCTTCCAGCGGTTGCGATGGGGTATCTGGCGGGGGTCTTTCTGGTCCAAAATCCCCCAGCAGCCGTGGGCGTGCGGAACTTGAGAGAGCTCAGAACAGTGGCGACTGTGATAGACATGCTTTGTCACAACGATTCATTGAGAGCTCTCGATGTATTGGTTCAGCGACTGAAAGCCTTGGAACTGGCCCACAATCAGCAGGGTTGGTCGCAGGCCTCACAGCTGGAATTGGTCCTGGAGGACAACCAATCGGCAGTGTTCAGGCCAGAGCTGAAGGCAGCACAATCCGAGGTCAAAGAAGAGTGGAAGATACAGAGGGGGCCATTCAGACAGGCAAGACCGACCCCAACATGGACGCCAGCGTGGCCAACGAGCGAGACACCCGGAGGTCAAGGGGACGGAGACGCCAAAGACGCCCCGCCGAACAATCAGCCGAAGGGGGGAGCGAGAAAAGGAAAAGGCAAAGGGAAGAAAGGCCGATTTGGTCGCAAGTGAACCTGGTCGATGGCCGTTTGGATTTGCCGGCGTTGGACCGAGCTCTGGAGGATCCCAACATTAGTGATGGTATCCGACAGGGTTTTGACCTGCTCCTGCGGGATAAGCGCCTGCACGAGATCTATGGTGGCGTCATAGCCAGCTATGAAAGCTTGGATGACAAGAGACGGGTCTACAAGGACTTCACATCACTCATGGTAGAATGGTGCGATTATTCGCCGGATGCCATCTTGAAATTGCTGGAGCATTACTATTCCCCGTTGGCACGAGAGGGAGGCCAACTGGGTGACCGCAACTTCCATCGGGTGGCTCCGCATGGAAAGACAGACAGCCGTGGCCTAAAAGCTGGTCGCTATCAGCGTGCACAAGAAGGCAAGCTGCTTGGAGTGGTGGGGTCAACCCAAGTACGAGAGATCTTTTCTGGATGGGATGCCGTAGACGGTGGAGTCTATGTTGGTGATGGCTGCGAGTTATTTCCTACCTCGATTTTCCGGGAAGCCTATGCAGACAACATTGCGGTGGAGAAGGCAGCTCATGTTTTGGACGGACGACCTGTGTATGTCGAGCCCGGCGGCTTCAATGCGGCTGCAGAGGTGATTGACAAGTTTTCAATCTCTGGGAAGAAGACTACCTGGACGTGGCAGCAATGCCAATCCTTCATGAGACTGCAGCTGGACGGTGAGGTGACTGTCTCTTTGGTCGGGGTGGTGCTGAAGATGGTGTTGAGTCGCTGCCCGGGACATCTTGGGAACATCCTTAGGATGTTACCAGCCTGCGCTAGACGGCAATTTAGGCAGACACCCATCGAGCTGCTCCCTATGAGTGTCCCAGAGGAAACTCAGGCAGAGCTGCGTCTGCATCGGCTGCTGCTCGACAATGAGCAGCCTCGGGCCCTGACGGATTCAGAAAAGGCATCAGCCCTGGAGCTCGCCAAGGAATGTGGCAGGGAGGTATGGCTGGGCTTGGTCCTGGCTGTCCTCAACGCCATGTTCTGTGGTGGCTCAAGGCCCTTGGGCAGAGTGATGCCGCATCCCTTGAACCCCACTGCAGAGCAGCTTCAAGTGATGGATAATTTCCGGGCACTGATCAACCTGTGGATCGAGGATGATCAGCATCAACTGAAGATCACTCCATGGGAAGTACAAGCTCAAAATCTGGGCGATTTCTACACGGGATATGAAGTCACAAAAGCATACAAGTTGAGCTGGGCAGCTATTGCCCCGCATGTGCCAGGCCCCGGAGAAGCCGGAAGGGTTGCCCTGGAGGAAACAGTCCCACCTGAGCTGAAGGACTATGTGGTCAACCCTGACCTTCTGAGAATTCCTGATGATGAGTTGGGAGATGTCAGATACTCAGCTCCAGTGCTTGTAGAATCCAGCGCGGAGTACGACCTCATTGTAAAGCACCTGGTGGAGGCTGGCATGCTGGAACGAGAGGTCCCTAGTGAGACGGTCAAAGTCAAGGGAACCCCGATCTACAATGGCCTCTTTGGCGTGCACAAGGGCTGGATCGACGAAGGCAATGGCAACTGGCGTCGCTCCCTGCGACTCATTGTGAACTTGATCCCAACCAATCTGCTGCAACGCCGAATGCCAGATCAAGCTTCGAAGTCAATGGGGTATGCACCCCTTTGGGGCAACATGGTTCTCTTGGAGGACGAGGTCGTTCTCTCTTACGGTGAGGACGTGAAACATTGTTTTCACATCTTCTCCCCGGGTCCCAGATGGCGGGGCTACTTCGTGCTGTCAAAAGAAGCAAGTGGTGGCAGCTTCAATGACGGGGTGAAGGAGAAAGGAAGACCTCGGGTACGGTCAGCCCCAATGGGGTGGGCAAATATTGTTGACTTTGTCCAATCGTCTTTGGAAAGAATGGGAACTCTGGGTGGAATCCCGGCAAGCAGATGCGTCAAGATGGGTGAGCCATCTCCTCTTCTGGAGCTCACGACACCAAGGCAATATCACAGCTTCTATGTCGACAACTACGATGGTTTTGTCATCATTGCAAGGACCGACCTGGCGGAGTATGAGGGACGACCGTCTGACAGCCAGCTGCAGCTTAGACGGACTTTCCAGACCTGGGATATCGGCCGTGATGAGAAGAAAGCGGCAGAAGGTACGCTTGAGTGGGTCAGCCTTGGAGCCGAACAGTTGGGCATGGAAGGCCTTGTGGGAAGCTCACGAAAATTTCGAAGGGCGGTGATGTCATCATCCCTTTGCCTCCTGATGAAAGAGGACATGAGGACGTGTGATCTGGAGTTGCTGTCGGTCGTTGGGAAGCACATGCATGCCACACAGTACTGCCGCCCTGTGGCTTGCTGTTTTGATGATCTTTATAGAAACCTCAACCTGGACGATATCAACACCTGTGTGGATCTGGCTGCGTACGAGGAGCTGTTGATGCTCACTTGCTTGCTGCCACTGCTTTGGAGCAACCAGCGCACCTGTCTCAACCCGACGGTGTATGCAACTGATGCTTCTCCTGAAGGGGGAGGTGCTTGTCAGACAACTTGTCTGTCTGCACGTGGACGAGCCAAACTCCACCTGATGTGTTCTGAACATGAAGGTCGAGAAGGAGGAGCCTGTGATGGGGTTGTGCTCATTGAAGTCTTTGGCGGCATGGGAGGCCTGCGAAAAGCGATCGAACTGCTTGGGCTCCTTCCACAAGGCATTATCCTGATTGACACGGACCCAGTGTGCCTGAAGTTGGCAAAGCGTCACTGCGCATTTGTCTTGCCAGTCGACAACATTCACAAGGTTGACAGGGCAATGGTGAAATCATGGAGGCTGCAGTTCCCAAGGGCACAGAAGGTGGTGCTTGGAGGTGGATGGCCGTGTGTGAACCATTCTTCTCTCAACACCAATCGTCTGGGAGCAGAAGCTGATTCTTCCAGGCTTCTCGACGTGATGCTGGCCCTCGCAGAGCAACTGAAACAAGTCAGCCGCCCTCTACACCTGCCCGACTGGGACATTATCGAGTTTTATGAAAATGTAGTGATGGATCAGCAGGACCTCACGGTGCAATCGGACAAAATTGGGGTCCTGCCAATCATGTGTGAGGCTGCTGATGCCTTGCGTTGCCGCCGGCCACGACTCTTCTGGCTGAAGAACCTTTCCATCATGGAAGGAGCTGATCTCCAACTCTTGCCGGAGCAGCAGGTAGGGAACCTGCAAACCAAGTTGACTGTGGCCAAGATCACAACAGAAAAGCCACCGCTGGAGTGGTTTCTGCGGCGCGGCTGCACCAAGTTGATTGATGATGGGCGCCCTTTCTTCACCTTCGCTCGACCCATGCCGAGGGCAGAGCCACCACGTGATCCAGCGGGATACGACCGCTGTGACGCCAAAACTCTGGGTCGTTGGCGGGGTGATGCGTATCGTCTGGCCCCTTACCAATATTCAGAGGACAATTTGGTGAAAACACCACAAGGCCCTCGACGCTTGCTCTCAGATGAGCAACTCAGACTCTTGGGTTACAATTCCGACGCCCTGGGCCTCAAGCAGAAGTTGACTGAAGATCAACGAGGTCAGCTGATTGGAAACACGTTTCCTGTCTTGGTGGTGGCGCGGCTTCTGGCTGGTCTGTGTAGCACGGATGCGCCAGATTCTGACATGGACCTCACGGCCGAGCTCTGGAAAATTTGGAAAACTAATGAAGATCGAGTGCAACAGCTCAAGGAGGCTTCATGGTCGACCCGATTCGGTCCGGGGGCCAAGGGTGCGGTGTGGGGCCTCCGGCACTGCCTTTGCAGGTCTGGTCGCCTCTTGCCTTCCCCAAGGTCCCTGCTGGATCCCAATGAAGCACTCAGTGATGAGCAATTGCTGACCTATCTCATCACCCGCAACGTTTCACACCGAGGGACTGATGTCAAGCTGGATCACGGAGTCCCATTCTCGGCAAGCGACTTCTGTCGTCGCTCGATTGATCCCACACACTGGGAATGGAAGGTGGTCCTTTCGTACAAATGGAAGCAGCCAAATGCCCACATCACCCAACTTGAAACTGTGGCTGTTTTGGACCTGATGAGAAAGCTGAGCAGAACGTCAGCAAACTTTCAAAAGAAATCTTTGCTGCTGGTGGACAATGCCTCAGTCGTGGGCATTCTTACGAAAGGACGCACCAGCGCCTGCAGTCTCCGACAGCCTCTTCGACGATTGGCTGCCATTTTGGTAGCCACATCCACGCGCCTCGTTGTTGCCTGGGTCAAATCAGAATGGAATCCTGCTGATGGCCCATCGCGATGGGTCAGCAGACGCGCTAAGCAAGATGCCTAGACAACGACAAGTGCTTGCAAAAAGGACTCGGGCTGAGAGGCAAAGGGATCGAAAGGCTTTGGGGAGACTAAAATCGCAGGTTGTTTCACCCAAAACTGAAGCTAGATATTTGGCCAGTGTTTCACGATTTCTTGAATTCCTAATTTCACAAGGGAAACCTTACCCGTCATCATTTTTAGTTTTGGATTTGGAGGTCTCACAGTTTATTGAGGAACTTTGGGAGCAGGGAGACCCTAAAGGATGGGCTGGAGACTGCCTTAGTGGTTTGGGTCACTTTATTCCACCCTGTAAACCCTACCTAGTCGGCGGTTGGAGACTGCATGCGGCCTGGGGGCGAGCAGAACTTCCCTGCCGAGCACCACCGTTTACACCTCTGCTTCTATATGCAGTTGCTCAGGCTGCCGCCGATCATGGCTGGGTGGATCTTGCTGTCTTGCTCATCCTGGGGTTTCACACCTTTGCTCGTGCGGGCGAACTTTTTCGCGCCAAAGCTGGTGACTTTGTCTTGGGTAGCAAGTCGGGTACTTGGACCTTGCCCCTTTCAAAAAGTGGACAACGACAAGGCGTGACTGAAAGTATCCTTTTGACTGATCCTTTTGTGTTGGTGTTGTTGAAAAGGTTTCTGGTTAACCTGTCTCCTGGTGACTCTCTTTCTCATGTCTCTGGTGGAACCCAACGTAAACGGTTGAATGACCTGTTGCTGACTTTAAAAATTTCGTTCCCCTTTCGGTGGTACAGTGTTCGACGTGGAGGGGCAACCCATGCGTTTAGAACAACAAACAATATTGCTGCTATTTGTGTAAAAGGCCGATGGAGCAGTGTAAAAACTGCTAGAATATATATTTCTGATGCAGTTGCTCAGTTAACAGAACTGCAACTGTCAGATTCCCAGTTACGACAGTTTCGCCAGTTGGCAATGAAATGCAGGCCATCATTTGATAATGCAGTTGTTTGAATCTCCCTCTCCTCCCTTGCCCTGGCTTTTTCCCACCTGATCTTTCCCGCTTGAGTCAGCCTACTTCACACTCGCGCATTTGCGCAAAACGGGAAGGATGGTACACAGGGTGTGTCTGATAATGGCATTGGCCTATGGGAGAACAGACACAGGTGGCTTTGGGTAGGTGTTTGCGCGCGGGGGGCTGGGGGAACCCGGGGGGCTCCGGACATCTGGTGGTGCTTGATGTTCCTGGGGTTCTCGTTTCTTTGTTCCTCTGGTTTCTGTTCTTTTGAGATGTGATCATCTCTTAGATCAATAACGCCTCTAGCGCAGCTTAGTCATAAAAAGGAAGGAATCCTGAATGTTGAACACTAGCAAACGGTCCCCCTGTCAGATAGTGTGATACATTCTTAATGACTGTAGCTTCTTTGCTTACCCTCCACCAACCCCTGTGCACCACCACACAGTGGGACCCTGTGTACTTGTCTGTGTCTGATAATGGCATTGGCCTATGGGAGAACAGACACAGGCGGCTTTGGGTAGGTGTTTGCGCGCGGGGGGCTGGGGGAACCCGGGGGGCTCCGGACATCTGGTGGTGCTTGATGTTCCTGGGGTTCTCGTTTCTTTGTTCCTCTGGTTTCTGTTCTTTTGAGATGTGATCATCTCTTAGATCAATAACGCCTCTAGCGCAGCTTAGTCATAAAAAGGAAGGAATCCTGAATGTTGAACACTAGAATTATCCCACAGTTATCTCACAGTTATCTCAACAATTGATGGTTATCAAGCCCTCATTATGTCATAAACGTGGTTGTTGGTGGTCAAGATTCGCGATTTATAAACCCAAACATTGTTGCGGGGTCAGCGAAATGGGTGGGTTTCCACCAAACTCCAATTTTCAGATACATGGTTCTACAGTTTTACTAGAATCATTCCATATAATTCCATAGTAATATTATGTAATCATCCCTTATAATCATCCCATGACATAGTAATATGATGTAATCATCCCATATAACTAGGTTAATTTTACTAGATTCTACTAGATGTTCCCAGCTCTAAACCTCCATGTTTTGTCGTGGGGATTGGTCGCCAGCCCTGCCAGGAACCCCACCACAGGCCACCATGGCGGCCGATGCTTTGCGAGTGGCTGGCAACCAGCAGTGACCTGAAAGTCACGGACAAGGCACGGGCGGAAAACACAACGTGGTGAAGCCATGTGATCTCTATGGAACCTGGTGATAGGGGCTGTGAAAAATGAAAACATGTGAAACATGAAAACCCATGAAAAACCCATGGAAATTGATAGAAGCATCAAACTTCATCAAACATGTGGATATAATTTTGGGAATATCATGAGGATGGATAACATGGGATTTAATGGGGATTTAGAGTCCGTAATATCCTATGGGATGATATGACTTTGACTGAAGATGTTGGGAAAACCACCAAAACCCACTAGAATCATCATCTTCCCTAGAGTAGCTATGTTTGGGGGATATGCCCCATCTTCAGACACAGCCAGATGGGTCAAATTCCTCACCTTTGACGGTCATCGACTTACAGTAGCCTCTGATAATCTAACATAGCTCTTGAACATGGCCATTTATATCAGATTTCGGCTATGAAACATTGTGTTTATCCATTAGCGATCTTGGATTACCAGAGGATCATCTGCCATCTTTGATGGTTACTGTAAATCCATATTTTCCATGGTCAATCCCAGTTTTGCACGGTTTAATCCCCTTTTACAGCCATCAGATCTCCAAGGTATCACCATTTTTCTTAGTTACTTCCCCCATTTTTCCTGGTAAATCATGGGGAACTCCCCATGGTCAACGCCACGCCACGCCATGCGCAACGGTTCACGCACAAAAGGAGCGCATGTTGCTCCGCATCTTCTCGGGCGACGACCAGCCGATCCAGGAACTGCCCGAGGAACACAGGACGCTGACTGACCCGGTGTCACCGTTAAACCCTCTGTTGGGTATCATTGATGGTATCAATGATGGTTAATGATGGTTATTATGGTTAATGATGGGCAATCATTAACCATAATGATTGTTACAGTAATGGTGGTTGATTATGGTTAATGATGGGCATGATATGGAAAAAAAAACGACCGAGCCCGAATCTTCTCCATCATTGGAATTATGGTTAGGTTTGGGGGAATTATCCCCAAATAACCTTACTTCAGGCTAGTGAATTATTACAATTTACTCAGAAACATGTTAATAGACAATTCACCATTTACTGATGATTTTCCCAGCTAGAAACGTCCATTTAGAGGGGGATTTCCCACTGCCATGATTACCAGAGGGTAATCTATGCTGATTAATGGTGAATAACAGGGGGTATAGCCGAATACCAGACGCCTTGGAATGTGGGAAACCATGGTATATAAACACAATATGAAATATCACCAGTCCCACCAGACATGCATGGTGCAAAGCTTCAAGTTCGGGAGGATTCAAAAGTGCAGAAACATTGGGCCTCACTCAGCAAAACCAGACAGATGTGATCTCACAGTCTCACAGAAATTGTGCGTAGAAAATAATATGGAAAACCATTCGTTTCCCGAGAAAAGGATCTAGATAAAGTATAAAGGGTGAAGTTTTATGGAAAAATCCATGAAACTAAATTTTACTTTGCTGAGGGTACGTGTCCAACCATGGGGTATCATTCCCATCGTGGACGATGACTTTCTCAAAGGTGGCTTCCACTTCCATTCCAGGCCCCGGTTTGGACTGTTTAAGGAGACCCTAAAGGCAATACTATGCTGTTTGGAGAAACACGGAAATCAGTTGAACTGGCTTTGAACGAGTTTTTTGTTGCGATAAACAAATGGCCAGTTTAGGTGTTCATCTAGAAATTGAGGGGAGTAACCATGGTAAAACTTGGGGACATGGACAAAAACGTTGATTCACTGTACAGATGTATATTATACACATACGCATGCACATACTCATATAAATGTTACGTGAATCGTATACAATATACATAATATACATGATATCAAACAAATGCTATACACATCTCTGTCCATATACAGTATTTTTTTAATACACATCTACACATATCCATAGAAATCATACCATTTGGTGCCATGGAAAATCACCATTTTTAATAGGTAAACCATCTATTCCTATGGGCCATCTATACCATGGCTATGTTAAATAACCAGGTCGCCTCTCCCCAGGAAATGGCTGGAGACCTTTGTCACCTATGGTGGCAGGAAGATGGACGACCTCCTGAGGTCCCATTGGAAGATGGAGCGGTTAATATATTATACACACTATGTTTATGCATATATACAGTATTCATATATATATATATATATATGTACATATATGATCATAATATGTATATACATATGTAGATTAAATTATATATTATACATATAATATGCATATATATGAATATCATATATATGCATATATATATTCATATACATATGTAAATGTGTACATATATATACATATATGTGTATATATATATAGTATATGGTTGCTGCCTCGCTTGTGCCTGCGTCAGTCGGTGCACGTGAGGAAATACCCTTGATTTGCATGTATAGATATATTTCCATGTACAAATGATATATGTATGTATTTGTAATTATTTGCATATGTATATGCGTCTCTATATGTATATGTAGATATATATATATATACATACAATGTAAATGCATATACATGTATGTGTATGTGTATGTGCATGCACATGTATAATGTATTTGCAGATGTCATTTATATGTAGATGTAGATGGGAACTGTACACATGTCCCATCCCAATGATGTTCTGAGACCGCAATGTCTTGGGATGATTTTATCCTGTTTATATATGTTTATATCGTGGCATCTCCTTAAACTAAAAGTAGCCAAACATGTACTCTATCTTTCGAGTTTAGGAATCATCACAAATTGAGAATGTGTGGTAGCATCAAATTGTTTAATGGACATATCTTATATAAGTTGATCTAAATTGATATACATTATACATTCATGATTAATGGTTTTTATTTTCCCCATTTTCAACAATTTTAATTATATAACTCTAAACATCGCATTTTTTTTCCATTGGGTTGTTTTTTGCCATGTGGGTATAGGTCAAAAATTTGCTAGCCCAATAATCGGAAACATTAATCCTAAGCCATCTGTGGTCCCTGAGGCTTAAACCTTGACCTATTCCCATTTGTTGGACATTTCTAGATCATTTTCCCATGGGTTTTCCACATCTGGCGCGGTGAATTCCCCGGGGGACTTCGCCATTTCTACCCAGCAAGGTGGCGAGTCCTGGGACATTTGGCGGCGGTCTTGATCGCCGCACCTGAGACCTCCCTGCTGCACTCCCTGCGGTGCATGATGCTGGACACGGGGCTGCTGTAGGGGCTGGTTAGGTGATCCAACACTAGGTATCTATAGGGGGATATCGACATATTGATCTAGGTCATTATAGTAACCAAACCATTTGATCTATAACCTGCTAGATACTATAAGCCCCATTTAGTATAATATTATACGGGATTATACTATATATATATATTAGTCAATCAATATATATATATGTGTATGTATGTATAAATATATGTAATTATACGGCATATATATATATATACTGGGGACTTCCTGGGGTTGTTTAAAGTGGTTTGCTATTTAACCACTGGGAAATCCAGCATTTTGGGGAATCGTTCGGGCATATTTTGTATTTGTTTGGAGACCCAAGGCGCAAATCCAAGATTCTCAGGGGTTTGAACACTGCTCATATAAAAGATCAATGTTCTTACATGGTGGTTCACCCCAGAAATCGTGTTTCAGGATTGGTTCACTACATAACTGGACTGACCCTACTTACCCTACTCATTATGCAGGTGAACTGAGCTGCTTGCTGACTGGGGTTAACCACCAAGTAGGATATATGGGAAATCTTATTCGAAACTAAACAATACTGATTTGGGGTGAAATGAAGTATATATAATTTGCCCATATTTGCCCAGATTGATGGGATTTACATGGATTTACCTTCATGTTACTGCATTGGAGTTGTGGATGGGGCAAGACCCAAGAGTAACTGAACCCAAGAATAGATACAGTACACAGTAGCGTTGCGCACTGGGGGCCAGTCTTCATTATAATTAGGATAGAAACGCAATAGTTTGATCTATAACCTTGTAAAGCCCATCCACCACGAGTCTCGATCCGCTTTGAGTTTTTCTTGCCACTCGGAACCACCTGACCATGTTCACATCACAAGGGTTTCAGATAGAACAAGGAAGAAGGTACAGGTGTGGATCCTTCAAAGTGGATGGTTTTTACAGGAATAATGGCGACCCATCACCCATTCTCCATCAGATATATTTATCAAATATTTTGTAATGTTTCACATATACACATGTGCATGTATAGTATTTGAACATGGTATGTGTCAAGTCACTGGCTGCCCCCCAAAATATGATGTTTGAATGAACGAGCAGACAACATTTCTGGCTCCTGCAAACCAGTATTTGCAGGCGATGCCAGCTTAAAATCCAATTGTGGCTATTTAAACTCACCATGCTCGTTGATCAGCCCCATTTTTGTCACCTCAATTCCTTGTTTTCGCAAAAAACGTGTGAACCTCCCAGCCTGCGCAGGACCCTGAGAAAATGACCAAGGACTTCCCAGCATTCTTGCCCGCAATGGATGAAGATATCAGGAGCTAAGGGATGGAGGGAACATATGCAACAATGGGCTGCCCTGTTTGGGTTTGTCCCAAAGGGGAATTCCAATGATTGCGTCGTAATTGCCCAAATTTGTTGTCACTCTTTTAGTATGTATAGGATTTACTTTTCTATCTTTTTTGGGCGTGCTATATAATATCATTACATTATATATATACAGTGATATACAGTGTGTGTGTATATATATATATAAATATGGTCATTTTATATGCGACCCTTATTCGCTTGATCCACCATGACATTTTTGGATCACCAACTAAGAGACGACGCCTCTTTGCCTCGGGTTGGGTTCAACCCAGCGATGGGCATAGGACCTCACTGGTCGGCCTCATCTATTTGATGGTAATGTTATATAATGTGTATGTTAAAGTTATAGTGAATATTCAATAGATGGGGATATGGGAATTCCATTTAATAGATGTTGTATTCAGGTGGAGTCCCATCTATTGATGGTGTTTACTGTTTCCAAACAACCACAGTAGATTCATTCTGCAAGGCTTTGCAGAGTGGATGCGGAGCGGCATTTGAAACGCTGCCACTACTGCTAGCACGCATCCACATCATTTGAAGTTTGCTGCATTTGCTGTTGACCTATACTTCCAATCCATTCCAACCAACCCCCTTAACCCCCTTATAAATATCGATCTATCATCTACCCGACTCTATCTACCAAGCGTATCTATCCTAAATCAGAACGACTAGGAGTCGCGTCCTCAAGGTGGGCCGCGGGGCCGCGGCCTGGGGCTGCCAGTGCTGATGGATGGGATGGGATTGGATGGATACGCAGGTCCACATGTAGATAAGCATCGATTTCAGATCAAGGACCAACCATCAATGAATACACGAAGAAAGGAACATCTACAGCAAACTCCAGAGGTTACTGCCGCTACGATCTGCGGATATGTCAGGCCTTGGTCGAGCGAGGTGAGAACATTTGGAAGTTCAAGAGCATCTTGGAAGTTGCGGTGGTGGTTTCTGGCACAGAATTTTTCGGATCAGTTTGAGGCAGTTTGAGTGTGGTGAACCCAAAATCGATCCGAAAATTGTCAAGATCAAGAAGAGCAACAGAGAAACGAGAGTTTCGCAGTGGGCTAAGAGGAGCTTGAAGCTCACAGTCGAAGGGCTAAAAAATTGCTTGAACCCCCTGTATTTGAATTGTGATATATTGTGATGGGTCATGGGCTTCCTGAGGATTTTTCTTCAATTTCCATTGACACAGCGACACCAAAAAGGCGATGCCTACAGGATGTCTGGGTGTCTCAAACTTGGGTTCACCGCAGGCGTTTTCGCCACCTTGGTACCGCTTTTGCACAGCTATGGCAGCTACGGGCCTTGGATCCGTTTTCCCCACGATGGAAGTACTGTGACTTCCGAGGCCATTGGTGGAAATGCTCCTGTGGCTTCACCTTCTTCATTGGCCCCTCAGCACAGGGAGAGACCACTGACAGTCAAGGACCAGCAGTTAAAACAGGTTGAAACAGGGACTTTCAAAGTCATCCTTAAAAAATCTTAAACATATCACTTCATGAAATTCTGGAGCTTAGATTGCCTTAGATCGTCTTTGACAGATCTTCTGGACCATGGCTACCGGGTACCGGGTATCACCCAAGAGGTCGGTTGCGGTTGTTTTCACCGAGGTGAATGTGGTCGTCCCATGGCCGGAAGCCTCAGCTATTTCAACAGAACAGAACGTATTGGAAAAAACCGCTTTCGGGAAGGTTCAACGTGGAACTGGGGGATGTTTCGATCCACTTTTCCTTTGTGTAGTGTCCCATTACTTTTCAATTTGTTTTTTGTGTTTTAATTTACTTTTGAATACTTTTAATCATTTTGTCAGTCATCTCCACATTTGTCCTCATTCTGCTGGTCTATCTCCACCTGTTTCATCATTTTCTTCCCTTTTTTTGTCGAGGAAGTGGCCAAGTGTCCCGGCTGCAGTCTGAACATCGGCGGACGGGATCACAACCAAACCGAGCACACCTTTCAGGACGATGAGAGCGCCGCTTGGAGCGATGGATGAGTTCAGATGGTTTCAGTGGGGATGTGGATCGGTATGGATCGGTGTTTTTTTTTAGTGGATGTTCATAGGGAAGGATATAACAATATGGATGTAGGGGTATGAAGGAATGATAAGGAATGTAGGATTTCGTGGGATCTAGCCTCTGGTAATTGAACCGTCTGGAGAGTCAGCATTTTTGAAAACGGTAAATCATCGAACTACATGGGCTATAAATTGCCTTACCGGGGAAGTCTCCGGTGGTTTGACTTGTATATGATGGGCCTTCAGAGGTTCAGAGTTCAGGGCGATGGAGATTCGGTGGATGTACCAATGCATCATCATGTACCCTCTGGTTATTTAACATAGCCATGGGAAATGGCCCATTTATAGATGATTTTCCCATTAAAACCTCCATTTATAAGGGATTTTCCATGGCTATGTTAAATAACCAGATGGTAATTGCGAAATATTGCGAACGTCACCTTCAGGCTCTTGCGACAGATACTCCAACGCACACATACCGTATTTCACCTCTTATATATACATGGAATTTGTAGGCACACATACATCTAAAGAGAGGCGAGTCTGAGACTGGTATCCCAAGCTTCCGCACTTGAATATACCCAACCTAAAAGCACCAGTTGACCCCTTGTAGAATCTTGTAAATTGTTTTCCGGACCTAAAACAAGGCACTGAGGCACCTTTTGTTTGAAATACAAAAATAGTATCCCTACAGTGCCTGGCACAACCCGCTCAGGACCGATCCCCTTGGGGCTACGTTTTGCCTCCTGCCGAGAAGGATGAGAAACACGTCACCTTTAGGGAGGCCCGGCGTCCCGGATGGGCGAATGGAAGATACTGGGGATAGCATCATTTTGCAAATAGATTTTGAAAACAAAAAAAGTTACAAGATACTGATAGATTATGTATACAATAATAATATATATATAATATAATTTAATATATATATATATATAATTAATAATGATAATAAATAATAAATAATAGATAATAATAAATAATAATAAATAATAATAAATAATAATAAATAATAATAAATAATAATAAATAATAATAAATAATAAATAATAAATAATAAATAATAATAAATAATAGTAAATAATAGTAAATAATAATAAATAATAATAAATAATAATAAATAATAATAAATAATAAATAATAATAAATAATATAATAATAAATAATAGTAAATAATAGTAAATAATAATAAATAATAATAAATAATAATAAATAATAAATAATAATAAATAATAGTAAATAATAGTAAATAATAATAAATAATAATAAATAATAATAAATAATAATAAATAATAATAAATAATAATAAATAATAATAAATAATAATAAATAAATAATAAATAATAATAAATAATAATACATAATAATCAATAATAATCAATAATAATCAATAATAATCAATAATAATCAATAATAATAAATAAATAATAAATAATAATAAATAATAATAAATAACAATAATAACAATAATAATAAATAATATATATAATAAAATTAACTATAATATAATGTAACATAATATAATACAATATATGATAATATATATACTATAATATGATATGATATAATATAACATAATATAATATATAATATAATATAATATAATATAATAACAATATATATATATACATATATTATGTATTGTTGTGTATCCTTATGATTTGGTACATCTTCCTACCATCTTCCTACCTCGGCATCCTTAAATAAAACCACCGTTTTCACGGTGCAGGTGCAGAGCAGCTCGGCCCGGGCCATTCGTTTGATGCTGCACGGGAGCATGTTCCTTGGGATCATGGCAGCCTCCAAACCTGGAACGCCACATGGCGGAAGTGATGTGGTGTGCCATGGGTGGTGCCCCCCTGGTTTCATGTGGTGATTTCATGGTGATTTCATGGTTTATTTCGTGGGACTTTAGACTTAGCTAAGTTGGTTTATATCTTTAATAACTTCGAACGAGTTGTCTGGGATTATAAGATGTTATAATATAGCAACTTGTATCTGGGGGGGCACCGCATTGTATTGGTATTGAACCCAGAATTGTGCGGGAAACGATGATTTGTTGGGGAAGCCCCCAGTCAGAGTTTATTAATCTGGGGGTGTCATCAAGTTTAAGGTTTTATTTTTCCACGACATATGAAAATTCAAAAAAAAATGGAAAAAATGACAAGAACTGTGAAAAACACAGCAAAAGAGAAACCGAAAAAAGGAGTGAACCGAAAAACAAGGCGAAACATACCGACACAGAAAGGACCAATTTGAGTTTGCCTTGAATCCGTTTCTTTTTTTCCAGTGTTGTTTTTTTTTCTCATTATTTCCAATATTTTTTTCTGTTTTTTTTTTTTAAAAACTATGTTGCAATTTCATGCAATTTCATTATGTTTTCACATTGCAGTTGAAACTTTTTTGTTGCAACACATCTCTAAGATATATTAAATGTGAGTGAGTTCTTTGTTTGATAATGGGACAATAGGCTACTGTAACCATAACCAGCTGAAACCAACCTGCAGGTTATCGGGTTGTCAAAGATTAGCTGTGATCGGAAGGCCATTTTCGCCCAGTGCATCATGGATATGATATGATATATATATATAGCCATATCTAATATCGATAGTATATATAGTACATAGATGCATATCTTCAATATCTACATTCATATTTGATATATATATATACACCTATAATTATCCCAAACTCCATTGCATCATACATCTACATCTATGTTTATAATGTAGATTCTATACTATTATTCTATACAATAATTTGACGATAATGCTGATTGTATATAACGATAGCCAACGAATATACTATTATCATCAAACATGAAATATACTTAATGCAATAAGTAATGTCACTCATAATGAATCATAGTCAATACTACTACTAATATAATATTATATAATACACATCGTACATACGGCAGTGGCCAAGGCAAGATCCTTTGCCGAAGATCTATGGGCCCTTGGCCAACGAGAGTGTTTGTGCCTTGCCATGGCCATGGGCTCGGAAATTAGGACACAATCTGGGACTAGTATTGGTTGCTTATGATAGCTGAAACAAATATAGGAGTGTAATACTACTAGTTGATGATTATTATTATAAGTTCTTATGGCAATAGATGGTCTCCAATGGTGTATTTCATGGTTAAACACCAAGGGTTGGAAGAAATTTGGGTGAACGGGATCTAAACGCAGAGTCATTTGGCACCCTAGTTGGTTTAATAGGGTTTCTTATGGTAGTAGGTGGTTTCCAATAATGCCAAGATAGATGCATGGTTTGTTACTGTCAATTTGTGACATAATGACAATGATTTGTAAATTCCATGCTGGAAAGATGTAGAGAATGCTCCGACCAAAGGATAACAGACTTTCCGGGTCCTAAATTTTGAGGTTGGATTTCAAGGTTGGATAGATATGGATATATAGATAATCCAAATGTTTTTTTTGTACGTGCGGCCACGGAATTCCTCCCAACCCAACTTTTCTTTTGAGGATTGAATGACCAGTTGGTGGTTTCAAGTGTGCGTGAATCTACACCCGTATGACTGATTGGGGTTCCTTACTGGTCGGTTTGCCAACCAATCGGATATTGGTCAAAGTTTCATTATGTTTTAACCACCGGGATTCAGATATTTTTGTGATGTTAAGTTCTCGGATAGCAAGTTCAATAATGAACATTGCCTATCAAAATCAAGTTGGTGAAAATTGGAGGTGGACAGATGGACATCCAACTTGCATATGAAACTTCACATGAAGATAGTGAACATATCATATCACCCAAAGATATCCTTTCCCCATATATAGATACATATATAGATAATTATAGATACACATATATATATTTAATATATATATATTTAATATAATATATATATACATATATATATATAGATATAGATATAGATATCCTGAACATAGCATTGGCTTTTTGCATAGCACTGACCAGCCCGTCCTCATTTCTCAGCTGAGGCACGTTGCGGCAGTGCATTGAGGCGCAGTACATCGGATCGCACTTTGCCAACGACTGGCAACTCGGGTCCACCGGGTGGGTTGGCAACGAGGGCGCCGGGTGTAAAAACCAACGTTTTCTGAGCAAAAAAAAACCCTGATGATTAGGGATCATACCCTTGATGTATTGGGGATTATATATATATATAAGAATCCAAGAGCGGGGAATCCCTATTAACCATATTTTTTATTAAAGATGATGTTGCCGTAAACTGGGGGTGACTGATCAATGTGATTGATTATATATTATAAATATTTATAAATTATTATATAGAGTCTTTTTGTTAGTTATGTTAAATTTTGCCAGCAAAGGTGGTGTTTATGATCCAAAATTCTCGAACATGGTTGAATTCTCCGGCAAATTGGTTGATTTCAAGGATCTTTTTCGTGGAAGACTCCTGGGCTTTTACATTCCAAATGTGCTAAATTGCGTTGAATTCAGGGCATCAGACATCCATAGACCTCGCTAAAAGATCTCACTGTTCTACGTCACTGGAATGATGGTTCAATATTGTAACGCTAACTATCCCACTTTGTCAACACCGGCGCAGAGCCTAAACTTATTAGCAGGTTCACATCCCACACGCGTTGAACTCGGTATACGTTATAGTCTCTTCCTCCAAGAAAAATCCTCCGCAAAAGCCTGGTTGAGTTGTAGATTTGTTCACTTCAGGATCCCCATGTTTTTTTTGGTTTACGACCAGGGGTTCAGGAGATACATGCGGATGACCCCAGAAATGATGAACATGGGGCTACACTCCCCGGTTGACTTGGGTTCATTGGAATTCGTGATGAGACTCATGATGAACCAAGCAAGAGCTTGGGAGATTCCACCTGTGGTTTTGGGCATGACTGGTGCGTAGGTAAAGTCGTTACTTTCAGTGCACATTTTGTTGGACGTACCCAAATGATGTTACACACACACATTATCACACATTAACATATGTTTACATATTATATATGTAATATGTTATATACATAATACATAATACACAATGTATATTTATATATTTCTTTACAGACATGTGTCTCAGAATTGGGTACCCCGCATTCGGATGATGAGATTAACTAAGGAAGTCGATGGTCGAGATCCTGAGCAGCAACACGGAGGTTCCGTTCCCGTACGGCGGTACGGGCGATGTTTTGTGCAGGGAATTCACCGAGGAAAAGTTGGAATGTAATGAGTATGTGCAACAAATACAACTGCTTGGGGATACCAAGTAATGCCGAGGCGATTTAGCTAGTTTTTGGTTTCTAAGTACTGCCAAAAAGGCTTATGACAGGATCCCTGTGACTTCACGTGTTGGAGAAGTTTAGGGGCATGCTCCAGAGGTATTACTGTATATGTTTCAATCATTTTGGAAGCCAGGTAGAAACCACCAAAAGATTGATAGAAGCCAAGAAGTGCGGTTTTACCTCTGTAAACCGACTGGTGCTGGTTTGGCTGGTGGAGTACTTGGTTTGGAGGAACATGAATAATACTGCACTGAAACTTGACTGGCTAGCCATGAGAGATAGTTTGAAGCAGGTGGTGCCCATTTTCTCAGCTTGGCCATGGGTATTTGGCAGGGACTGGTCATGGAACTGTCAGCAAACAGTTCCATATAGTTCCATTTTGTTGCACCTGATTTTGACAGATTTGGGAGTGTAGGAGTGGAGTTTCCCAGTGGCTGACCAGCTAACCATCGAGACACGGAGCCCTTTTTTTGTGGACAAATTCACCATGCCAGTCCCAATGGGTTCCACAATTCACATTGGATTTTGGGGTTCCGATGGCCTCTTGTTTAGAAGCCGCGATGATTAGATCGGGCCATTTGTTGCGAAGCTGGCGGCAGGACTTAGCGGTGGGTCTCCACAACCTTCTGCTCGACATGAGTGCCTCGATGTTCCAGACATGGCCAGACTTTGCTTCGGCGATTTTTGGTGATAACTTTTTCGGGTTTATGGTGCATAATTCTATAGTTTTCATGGGGGGGGTATAAACAACTTGTAACTGCGGAGACCTCCGCAAGATGGGAGTCTGCGAAGACTGAGATTGTGTTGTTGTGCAGCACCGCTGTGGGACCTCGGGATCGCTAGGTGAACAAAAGAGAGACGAGCCATTGAAAGGTCTCGAAGGAGGCACCACTCCCAAATGGGCGATCCTCACCTTGCCACAACGCTGCTCGGGCATGAGGCGCTGTTGTCACATGGGTTTTCCCATGGGTTTTCCATGGTTTTCCTATGAAACATGGGGCGGGTTTCCTCCAAAGAACTTTGCCAATGAGCTTTGGGATTTCGGAAATGATGCAGGCGGACACGGGAAGATGGTTTTTTTTTGCAATCATAGCCTGGCGGGTGGTATCCAATCCAGGTGGATCATGAAAAACTGATCCTGACTGTGCAATCGAAACATGTGGGAATAATGTGGGTATATAATGTGGATATATAATGTGGATATCTATATATTATCAATAATGTGGGTATAATGAGTGCGAGATCATCTGATTTGGAAGGAATATGCCACATCATCAGCAGTGTTGAACATCGATGTTCAATTGCATTATGGCAGGAAATGCGGAATTGCTGCAGCCAGTTGGGGAAAAACCAATGGTCAAACTCCTTGACAGTTGGAGCTTCATTTTTCCTGAGCTGTTTAGCCTGACCGAGGAAACTCGTGGGAAGAGACCATTGAAGTCAAATATCTGAAGTCCCGCAGTTGCAGCCAGCTGGGTGTCACCGTTACCGTTGGCTCGCCCCAATGTTTCCAGAACATTTCCAATTGGAAAAAAATTGGTGAATACCTGGTGAACTCCTGTATACCACCATAAAGCACGGGTTCAAACAAGGTAAGTTCCCTGACGAATGGTCTCGGAATCTATCGTTTCCTTCGTTTTTGGATTGTCTAGTTGCTGCTCTCGCCGAAGAGTTTCGCCTTGTTTTGTGTCGAAGAAATGGACAATTTACATCTGATGATGATGATGATGATGGGTTGATGGGTTGATGGGTTGATGGGTAGATGGGTTGATGGTTTGATAGTTTGATGGCCAACCACCACCGGTTGAGGAGTGCAATCAAGAACTTGGATGATATACTGCAGGCAGCTGAGAAGTTGTTGATGGGCCAGGGAATATGATGATGTATAATATATGTATATATATAATTACATATATACAATAATGGGGATATGATGGGATATATATATATGTATAAATAAAAAAAATCATATATATATATTATAGACATAGCTACATATTATAGTAATCAGCAGTATAATCAACAGTATAGTAGTGGGTTTATCCTCTCGTAATGAAACATGGCTGGCTGGGAAATTCCCTACTAAATGGATATAACAATTGGTAAATCATCGAACTACAAGAAATGGGGGATTTTCCATTGCCATGTTTGATTACCAAAAGGTAAGTTGGTTTATTACATTTTATAACATTTATAACTAATATGTTACTAATTCAGTAGGGTTTATATATTCTAGATATATTGAACTAAATAATTTTTGTGCTGCACCCAATGCCATAAACCTGTAATTGATGGTGAAACTATCAACCATTTCTGGTACTATTGGGGATGGTTCATACTTGGCTTTGCGGCCATTCAACCACACATGATGTCATGACGTGTTTGGCCGAATTTTAGGGACACCAAGCGAGAACAAAGTGAGGATACGGTAGACGAAACGACTGTGTGTTCCGGATGAACATTCGAAATTATGGGAATATATGGAATATATATATATGGAATATGGCTGAAAAACTTGGATCTCCTTCGTTGAAAGCTACCCGGGCCCAGTGTGGTCATGTTGATCGCCATGTGGAGTTCGCCAGGATTTGTACAAGAAATGGGGTGGTGATCAAGAGGACGGGGTGAGGTTGTCCGTAAATCTCTGTTGCTTCAAGTTCTTAGCTATTGATTTGCATAGGATCACCAACTACTTTCCGAGTTTTTGTATGTTTTTGTTGTCCCCATCCTCTGTTGTTGTTGTTGTTGCTATGTATGCGACATGTTTCTTAAAGTGTTCTTGTATTTCCCAGTTTTGACAAGGATACACAATGTATTTGTGCTTCAAAGATCTATTTGACGAACCTGTTTTTGCCGGAATCTTGCGGATGCTGTGGGAGTCAATGGGAAGGACATTTTCCAGATACTACTTAATGGCAGTGAATTCTCTGCAGCAAACAAGTAAGTGAATATATATATATACATATATATATATTCAGATACATATAATGTATATGTAATGTATGTGTATATGTATATATATACACAGTATACATATTATATACACATTTACATGCACATGTGCATATATACACATATATATATAAACCGTTATCATATGTCTGAGAAACTATATATATATATTGTTTGGCTGTGACTGGCTGCTGTTTTCCTTCCCTTCAGGACGGCAAATTTGTGGCCGAATTGAAGGAAGCGGCAGATGTTCTGCTGGCAAGTCTTATTCGGATCATCTCCGGTAAGCAGGATCCAAACCCATTCGGGACGGTTACTTCACTGGCTGTTTCGAACACATTCATTTAGGACATTGAGATTTTAGATACATGGATGATGATCCTCAATGAACTGTTAAAATGATGAAACTTCCAAGAAGTTTCTGCCTGATATCGCGCAATGGTTGTTTTGTCAAGGTCTGGGAGCTGCTGGTTGAGATATGAGCGGTCGCATATATATATATATATTATACAGTACATACAATTATGTATGTATATAATTATATATGAAGTAGGGGCCTGTATAGATGTATCATACACCTACAAAGACAGAGAGAGAGACCATACAACATCGTATGTGCATATGGAGTTGATATGTTGAGATACTGCAGATGTATATACATCTACTTTCCCGATACAATTTGTTTATATACGTGTACTGATGCACATGGTATTGACATGGACTATACCACAAGCATTTGTGCTACACATCCACCTATGCAGCACCATTAGATGGGATACATACCCGGTCATTTAACGTAGCTATGGAAAATCACAATTTTCAATAGGATATAGGTAAATATTGGTTACATTACATAAACTATCAATGCACCATTTTCCATAGCTATCTTAAATTACCGGAGGGTCTATGTGTAAATGGATGAATCACATTAAGGATCATTAAGGTGTTTCCGAGAACTAGGGTACCCCAGAACCATTGATTCTATTTGATTGTTGTCTCCCCGTCAAAAATAGTTTGGGTGTCCACATCTTAAGAACCCGCATAAATACATAATAATATATATTATACCAATTAATCCTGAAGTAGATTTAGATAGAATTATAACATTTTCCAGCATATTCTCATTTTGGTGTTTTTTCTTAGTATCCATCTTCTATCTCTAAGGCCCTTCCGATTCTTCAGAACCCAAAAAGACGGCCGTCACGGCAGGTGAAAGACTTCCCGCCAAATATGCGGGAGGCGCAGATGCCTCAGCTCTGGGCCTATCGATCTGCCGTGACCCTGGACGCGCTCCACAAGAAGAGTCTTGGAGCGGAGCTGTTGAAAGATGGGGGTTAAGCACCAATGAATGTGTATATATAAAGATCTATATAAATAATTCTAAATACATATTATTGAAATTATATTGTATATAATACATATATACACTATTGAGATTTGTGTATATATATATATACACACATATTATATTGGGTAACAACATGATATTTGGCTGTGTCTGACAAAGGTGGATAGCGATGTTTTTACATAGATCGTAATTTTGGAGTACCTGATTTCCAAACAAAACCGTAGAGCTCAAACAGGGACTTTTTTTTTCGGGGATCGGTGGGCTACGCAGCTATGCTGCTTTTTGTTTCTAAAGGTCATAGATGACCTCCCAAACACTGCAGCAACGGTGCCACCAAGGATTGGAATGGAATCCAATACCAAGGAAAATTTCCCGGTGCTGTGCACGGTGCTTCAGAATCCTCTCATTAGCATTCTGCCCCTTGGCGGCTTTGGTCTCCGTTCCTTTACCCTGTTGGGATCATGACAAGGTTTCCATGCTTCAAAAAAAGATTCCTACCATGTATCCTTATAAATTCTTATGAGTAGATATAACACATACAACAGTTCTACACAAATTAATGAGGAAGTATTCAATCATTATTAATAACGTGTCAAACTGAGGAAACCCAAGGTCGGAACAGGTTTCCAGCATCCATTGATGCTAATCTTGGGTTTTTTTAATGGTATTGGGTTTAGCGCAAATGTAGTTTTAAAGCTACCCCAGAACTCAGACCATCAACATAATTTACATGCATAATTATGCTATATATGTATATGATTACATAGCAACCACACAAAAAAAAACATGAAAGGAGTGAAATCTGAAGTGATGAAGTACGTAAAGCTAGCATGCATTGTCGATCAACTTTTGGGATTAGCATCTGGTATTCGCAGCTATGGCAGCTATGGACAATGACCATGACAAATAGCTATGTGACAACAACATATATCAAACCTGATTGTCAAACAACAACATATTCTCTGACAGCTAGTTGATTTATGCCGATTTACTCAAACCTGCTGGTTTTCCATAGCTATGTGATGACCAGAGAGTACAACTATAGTCAATGCATTGTTACTGTTGTGGGGTAACCTCAGTTCTCAGATCGATTTTCAATGCCCATCAATGCCCCATTTCTGGGAGAGTCCCAATTCTCGGATCGATTTTCACATCGATCGTCTCCAGGCCCGCGCTGGGTACCTTGGTTGGTGTCTTCGAGTGGCAGGCGCTCTGCATCAACCAGTTCAGCGGCCGCATTACCAAGGCGCGCGTTGCATCAACGGTGAAAAGGGACCCAGAAAATGCTAAGGCCACCAGGCCACCTACGTGGGGATGGATTCACTTAGGCATGGGTTTCTTGTACTTAGCAAATTCATTCATATACAATTCGAGATTTCTTTGTTGACTCCACCACTTGGAGATCTGTTGAAGCAGTCTTCACCGCCGTCGTCCCCAGGCAAAAGCAGGTGAAATGACCGTGAATGACGTACTCATGACGGTGGGCATTCCCAGGGGTTGGGCGCCAAGGCTGGTGACCGGTGCATGGTACCCTTTTTCGGCACCGAAGAGAGTCCCTAAATCTGTGGCTTGGTCTATGATTCTTACAATATTACTTTAATGTGGTTAAAACAATAATAAACCACCCATTTGCGAATGGTTTATACCACCTATTTATGGTGATTTGGGGATGGTTCATTCTTGTTTTAACCACACTATTCTTCATGATTTTTGCCCAGCATATTTACAATATTTGATGGTGATTTACCAGATTTAGAATTATATACCATATTTACCATATTTGGGAATGGATAAACCGGGTTTGGTATATATCCCATTTTGGAGATTTGTTTCACATCACTAAAACAAGTATCTGGAGATGAACAATCCCCAATATTCGGGTGATGTGAAACATTAGACCAGCCCCCGCCCCACCCCCCGGGTACCCGATGCTTCCCAGATCCCACGGAATGAAGCAGAGAAGCGGCTATGGACGCAGGCGTTTGGGAAGCTTTTTCCACCTGTTTTTGAGGTGATTGATGGTGATTTAGTGGTGATTTCATGGTGATTTTAAGTGAAAGTTATCATTTTGGGAAAGTCCATCTTTATCATGTTTTTGTCCCGTAAATATCCGTAAGACATGACTCACATGACCTTTGGAGTCTCAAAATAGTGTTGGGGGTGATTAAAATCATCGTCAGCTATTTTGAGAAATCTCCACGACCGAGAAATTTCATCAAGGGAGAGATGTCCAAATATAACTGGAAGTCCTGGAATTCCTGTACCCTCTTGACGGGTTGGGAGCACTGTGGAGGCCTTCAAAAATTTCCAGAGGGCGTGGAAATTGGCGATGCCCTACTGTGAATATGAGCCCCTTGGCTTCTCCAACCTTGCGGGTGGGAAACTGAACTCCCCGATACTCATACCGTGGTGCAATCCCACGGATGCAAATAAATCCCTGAGATGCCCCGTTGCAAAAGAACATCACCCAAATACTCATAATTACCGTGGCAAACCCAATCAGTAGCAAGTTCCATTGATTTTGATAGACATGTAAATACGTATATATAATATAGATATGTGTAAGCAACGACAACCACATGGTGAAAATAGGTATGGTTTGTCATCACGCGAAACCAGGGTACCCCGACAATTCAATGGGCAACAGAATCGGCGCAGAAGCCTCGCATCAAAGTGCAGGGTACTGAGGTCCCAGGGTTAAGCGAAGTCGCTCGTGCGAGTTTCAAGTTGCAACCCCCGGGTTTCAGGAAGAGTTTGTTTTGAGTGATAGCACTTGCGGCAAACGTCATTGTGAACTTGGACTTTTCTGCTACTATACTTGTAGTGGGTAGTTGGACAGCTCCAGAAACTATATATTGATAATATATTTTTGGATCAAGCATGATCAAGCTTATTTTTATTGCCACCAAAAATGGACGTTAAATCCCCAAAAAATGACAGCGTTTGGTGGGCTCATTGACATCCAATTTTTGGAGCCATAGCCATTTGACGACCACGACGACCACGACGACCACGAAGACCACGACGACCACGACGACCACGACGACCACGACCGCGACAACAACAATCACAACACCATACCACCACCACCGCCGCCAACAACAACAGCAACAACAGCAGCAACAACAGCAACAACAGCAGCAGCAACAACACCCATAGATGGCTTGCGAGATTCCAAACTTGGGGGTGCATGCCACTTCGTATGTGGGTAATATCCACATGATACGCGAGTTTTGTGTGGAATATCCCTACTTGTATATATGGATTATATATATCTAAATTCTAAATATACAACTAAATAAATATACAGTATATAAATCTATCAATATCTATTGATATCTATCTATATCTATATCTATCTATCTATATATATATATATATCATATATCTATCTATATCTATCTATCTCTATCGATCTATTTTTCTATCTATCTATCTATCTATCTTTCTTTAAATTTAAATCTATCTATCTTTCTTTCTATCTACCTATCTATCTTATCTTATCTTACCTTATCTCAACTGATTTTACCTTATCATCTTACCTGATCTTACCTTATCTTATCTATCTTTATTATATTTACACGTACGGGTTAGCAACCCCTTTCCACCGGTAGTTCCAGTGGTTGTTGTCTACGAGGTGCTTGCAGATTAGCGAGAAGATGCGGGAGCATGAGTTGACGCTGGGATTGGCATACCGAACCCCCCATGTTCTGATCGGAGAAGGATCTATTGGATCATTCAATGGATATACAATGATACAAGTAAATATCATATCGTATTTAAGATTTTCCAAAAATGCATACACATTCCACCTCTTTTTGCTACAATTGTTCATAAACGGCTATGACTGGGCCGATTGGGTGATTATCTAGCCATTTTAAGCCTAATTAAGTTGATTGTGCAGGATTTGGACCCATGCCCATCTGGGGTGGCAGCTGTTGAAAGTGACTTGTCACCAGCCTCTTGTTTTATCATGATTCATGCTACAAACAGCCGGGACTTTGGTCTCTGAAAGTGATCCGTTTTAGAAGCGAAACAGCGCGAAAAAAAAACATTTTCTTGGGGTCAAAGTCAAAGAAACCACCGAAATTAGGTCATGTGAATTAGTTCGACCTGAGACAATTTTGCATATGATTTAGCTATGTAAGCAGTTTGTGACGATGGGTGTTGAGGTGTGCACCTTAGCAAGGCTGGTGTTTTCAGGGAGGGAACTCTCAGCATGATTAGCGGCAATGATTTGCGGATTATTTATTTTGATGTATTTTGTTCACCGGGGCCAATTCCACGACCAAGGACTATTGACGATCCTATGTTGCTCTGCATTCCAGACTTCAAGGTTGGCTGTGCGGTCCAAAGGGTGAGTGTGTGTGTGTGTGTGTCTGTGTCTGTGGAACATCTGAATAGATGTAAAACTTCTTCACAGCAGGGGGCACGAGCGTCATGGTAAGTCTCCTGCCAACGAAGACACTTACCATCGACGGTGATACCAGACTTGGCCAGTCTGGCGTACCTGCATTGTTGTGATTACCTGTTGTTCAGGGTTTGCTTCCATTCAATTTCTTATTTCTGATGATGGGAAGAGGCTCCACCCAAGAACCTCCAAGTCGTTTTTACAATTTTCTGCACTGTTGTCGCAATCTGTCAAGATGGGAACGATTTGGCGCAGTGTCAACTTCCAACTCATTTCACCTAGCTCTGGCTATGGCGATGGTAGCTTTGTGATACTTTCTCGGGTCTTTTCACCGACCCATTCCTGTCAGGTATAATTGGAATGCTTTTGCACGTAAGATGCATTCCACATCAAAATTCGCAATGATTGTTCTGAGCAAGTGCGTGATTCATGCTGGATTCGTCATGGTGGCATGAACCCTTCGGGGAATACCTTTCCAGGTAGGAAAATTGAACCTTCGACCTGACCTCTAAATTTACACTTTTCAACTTAGTAATCAGGTTAAGTAAAGTGAAACAGTCGGCCTTACTTCATTGTTTCACCTGTCGATTGTCGTGTGTTGCAACAGCTTGCCGCTGTGACTGGCCTCACCATTTTGTCGGAATTTCTAGGGTTGATAGACTTAAGCTGCGACAACTTTCCTTTTCATCGTTGCTCGAAAGTTTGACAGACATGGATCAGCATGTGCATCATGATGAAATGCCCAGGCAGGTACACGACTTTAGGTGTGGTCCTTTTTCCTCTTTATGGTCTTTGGTAATTGTGCACCAATTCGAGGGTTGACTGCGTAAGCTGTCCATAGGGTTGATCTAACCACCGAGGGCCTCGAGCCTTATCACGAATTTTGCATGCGTTTGTGGATGCATCTTTTCATTAACTAGTCCCCCATGGGTCCCCTATCTCATGTGTTTTCCTCTCTACAGGTAGGTTGGGTCCTGCGCGTGCTGAGGTAGGCTTAGGTTTCGCTGTGGAGGTTGGTTTAGGCGCTTCCGTCTTCCCCCTCCTCCGCTGGTCTGGTTCCGTTTCCGTCGGCCTCCGGTTTTTTCTTTCCTTGCCCTTTCAGGGTCTTCCCGCTCTGGGCCAGGTGTGTTGTGTTGGTGTTTGCTCTTTCCCTCTTCTTTTGCGTTCCCCTCTTCGCGACTTCGCGGCCTGGTTAAGTAACTTTCACCTCATTTTCATTCTCATCTCACTTTCATTTCCTTCATCCTCGTTTTCATGACTCATCTGTCCGGACCTTAATTTCCTCACCCTCCTGCGGGACGGTGTGTGTGTCTGTGGAACATCTGAATAGATGTAAAACTTCTTCACAGCAGGGGGCAGGAGCGTCATGGTAAGTCTCCTGCCAACGAAGACACTTACCATCGACGGTGATACCAGACTTGGCCAGTCTGGCGTACCTGCATTGTTGTGATTACCTGTTGTTCAGGGTTTGCTTCCATTCAATTTCTTGTTTCTGGTGATGGGAAGAGGCTCCACCCAAGAACCTCCAAGTCGTTTTTACAATTTTCTGCACTGTTGTTGCAATCTGTCAAGATGGGAACGATTTGGCTTAGTCTAAAGGGCAGTGTCAACTTCCAACTCATTTCATCTAGCTCTAGCTTGGCGATGGTAGCTTTGTCTTACTTTCTCGGGTCTTTTCACCGACCCATTCCTGTCAGGTATAATTGGAATGCTTTTGCACGTAAGATGCATTCCACATCAAAATTCGCAATGATTGTTCTGAGCACAAGTGTGTGTGTGTGTCAACCGCTGTCTCCACGGGAATGCAATCTTTCATACTTGGGCGCTGTACAATAGTCATTGTGCAGGGGATGGACAGGACATATGAGGCTCCCTCCAACGAAGCTCCTCACATGATCCTAGGATATCACCAGGGACGCTTGTTGGCGTACCGGCAACTCATTTTGAACTTTTCCACTGTTTTTCCACATGGGCTGTGTTCCTGCCACTTGCAGCGAGTTCCGGATTAGCTTGAGAGGAACTCGGCGAATTGCATTCCATCTCACTGATCTTTTCATCGGGCACAAGGGGGGATCGCTCCTGCTAGCAGCACTATTTTCCTTGCAATTGCTTTGAGAAGACTAGCCACGTTCACCATGGTAAAGATAGCTGGATGCAGAATGTCATTAGCTTTGATGTTGGTGTACGTGACCCCATCACTCGGTGGTGGCAGATCAGATGCAACTGTGTGTGCGTGTGTCTCTCTCTCTCCCTCTCTCTCTCTGTGTCATGCTTTGCTCCAAAGAGTTGATTATGATTGGAATTTGCATGAGCCATTTGTGGATACCTGTGCCATCCTGTGCCAACGAAGCTTTTTCACAATGGGGGAAGCGGAGATTGTTCACCTCCGTGTGCTTGCCATGTTTTCCGACATGGCAACTGCGCTAGGCCAAAAACCCAGCATGCTGCCACGCGCCGCATTTGTTGATTTATTTGATGATTGTGTCCTTTCAACTGTCCGGGCACGTTTTAACCACTTGATGCTCCAACCCATGGCAAAAAACATGAGGCTCACAGCTGAGGGATGCTTTGTTTTGACCAAATCGTCAGATGTTCAGTAGGAACTACCAGTAGACAAATGGTTCGGGAGGATTCTTGCAATCTTGTCAATCGAGCGGTGGTAATGTCTTGCACTTTCAGCAGTCATCCATACATATGCATATATATATATATAAACATATCTCTGTGCCTTGGGCCGTGGTTGACTTTGAACCATAGCTTATGGATTTCCCAAACTCTGGATCTCACCCACATTCACAAGCCTGGCGAATGTCCTGAACAAAAAGGAATCCAACAGTGATAGTTTGTGATCATTAATTTTGGACATCGATGTTCTTTAGATCTAACTCTTGTGACCTTAATCAAAATCTAACTAATCCCATCTAATCCAATCTAGGCCCATCTAACTTGACCTAACCTAATCCATGCCTCAATTTATCATGAATATCTAACTGTTGTTGCGGCCGCAGGACGATGGCATGTATGCCCTGGCGGTCATCGATTGGCTGGTGGCGCAGCACAATGAGTTGGTGCAAATTGTGGCAGGCTGGAGGGGTTTTCTCTAAGAGTGGTGAAGTGGTGATATCTTGGGGATTTAATGGGTAATCAAAATTGGTGATATACGGTGGATTTAATTGGTGATTTAATGGGCATTTTCATGGTGATATCATGATAACATGGGGATATCATTGGGATTTGTGATCAGGAATATGGCATGGGTTTGTTCAAAAATGGGGGCGTGCCCGTAATTCCAAAACCGATCAAACCCAATGCAGTATACATGGGTTTGAACCTGAAAAGTGATCGGGACATCCACAAGATTGCCATGGTCTAGGACATCATTCATTTTCCCACTAAAATAGCAATAACATGGGGTATGCCACTTTTTGGGGCAAAACCAAACTCATAAGTGGAATGACATGCAAAGATCAAACACCAGCAGAGTCAGTGGAATTAGAGGCAGTCCCGAGGAGGTATCTTATACAAAGTCGGGGAATTATGATTTTACTATAGTTCCAACACATTAAACAATGAATTAATGTTAATTAAGTATATATATATATACATATTTAGTTGTCCATTCATCTGAGGCCTGCTTGTACACATGGGACCAACCCAGATGTAATTTTATTTATACTATACACCCATCCAACTTTCAAAACATCCTGGATATACCATCGTTAGAAACGACAACAACGACCTCACTGGTGGACGTCACCAAGAGACTCTTCTTTTTGGAATGGGTTGCAATCACCAATGGCCCAGTTAATTCGTTAGCTATCAAACATATTCAAACATATTCAAAAATGAGTTTTATCATAGCAAACTGAAATTACCAGAGGATATCTATTATTGATAAATTGTTTTTCCAGCCGAAAACCTCCATTTGTAATGGGAACCCCTTAGCGTTCCAAGATTACTAGTGCTGCGCTGTCCACGGGAGCGCAGGAACTCTAGGCTATCCAGCTCGGAAAGTCTCGTCTCGACTGCTGGTGCAGCATGATGCCACCGTGTCGCAAGAGAAGTTCCACCGTTTCCGTGTCTGGGGGTTGGGTTTCAATACCAAGTCATGGTCTAATGACTTGGTTTGGGGCACAACTTAGGACCCCCGCATCTGGAGATGTTTATTTCGATTTACCATTGACATGGCCACAAAAAAAAAGGGTGAATACACTATGATACCTGGTTGGTGGTTTGGAAAATGAATTTCATTTTTCCATATATTGGGAATAATCATCCCAACTGACTAGTATTTTTCAGAGGAGTAGGTATACCACCAACCAGATACATACGTATGATCTGGAAAACATTGCTCTCATGGGGTGGCTCTCATGGATGTCCCATCCCCATCTGGTGTAGCACTGGATGGGATTACCACCATCACTGGTAAAAATCTCCATTGGTGGGTTGTTAAAATGGAATTACTGATTCTTATATAAATATAAATCAGTTAAATCCTTATTGCTTAAACATCTTATATATATATACATACATATGTATACACATAAGCTTATATATACTAGATGCTCCCCCCTACTTTTCTGTATCTCTTCTGCAGCACTTCCCAAAAAATCAGGTCATCAAGTACACCAAGCGGGAGCTGATGCGCTTCCTTAGCAACCGCTGTGCCACCTGGGGTTCCTTGGACGTTTTGCAGGAGTCAATGCACCTTTAAAACCCCGCGTTGCTGCGAAAATAGCTGGTGTCTAAGATATAAGGGTGTTTATCCCTGCAAAATATGGTAGAATACGGTAGAATTATTTTATTTGATCTATCACCATATTTTCGTGGGTTGATTTCACTTTTGACTAGTCTTTTACTCTGTGAGTGGAGGAAGTTGCATCATCTCCAGGTTAGGCGGGTCCTAACTTTTTGTTGCGGGGGAAAGGAGCTGGGAAACCGTCCTGGAGTTGGAGTTTGCTCTGGAAGCCATGGCCCATTGCTTCAGGATGTACCTATGAAAAATGGAGATGTTCCATGGATATTTGAGCAAGTACGATAAATTACAAGATGGTAAATAGAAAATGGATGTCCTGATGAGTCAGTGATCAATGTCCCCTGCTCCAGTGGCTTTCGGCAGGGGTAGCATGACTGCTCAGCCCATAGTCGTCGTCGGTTTCTGTTCTATTCCACTGTAATTCCAATTCCCAATTATCTTCTTTTCTTCTGTTCTTCCATTGTGTTTCCATCTAAAAAGCTATGAACACTGGATGGCTCATCGCCAATGACTTGAGAAAACCACCATGAAGATAATAGGTAAATCAGTTTCCACGGGTGGCTTCAATAGATTCAATAGCAAACTGTAAGCGAGTACCAGAGGGTAGTGTATCTATTCTTTATCGATGATTTTCCCAGCTATAAACCTCCATTATCCTCCATTTCCATGGGGGATTGCCTATTAATCTATAGGGGATCCCCTCTCTATCATGCCACCCAAGCTCCCGTATGATATATCCCCATGACTGCTGGTTCTACCCCTTGAATTGCCGGTGGATATCCCCATGACATGCTATGCAACCAGGTGTTGGAGGCAAGTTGAACCTGGACTTGAAGCAAGTGGAATCGCATTTGCGGCGCGAGCTAAGCAGGCGAGGTCACTGGTTTTTTCGAAGTTGAGTGAAACTCAATGCCATTTAAGTAGGAAATAGGGAAAGTATGGGAACATTATATTTCATGATGCTTAGTGAGATTGTTGATGTTAGGGGTACAGTAAACTAAGTGTTTTTTAAACATATCCCAACTTATAGGGTTAGTACCATAGTTGTAAGTTGTAATCATATTAAACCTCGACTGCGCCTACAAGCGCCCATGGAATTACCATTTAATGATATTTGATGGGGAGTCTGTGAATATGATGCCCTTTACACCATTGGATTTTGAGGTATCCTATTTTCAGACAAAGAGTACACAAAAACGGTGAAACGTCGCAGATTTGAGCAAGTGCAGGGATGGTACCATTTTCGGATTGGCTAAGAGCTGTGCAAGTGAGCATTTTGGACCCGTTGGTTTCTTGGGGGGAAAATCAAGATGCATCAAGATGCGCTAGGGAGCCCAATGGCCTGAATTGAGGGTCTTGTTTGGTTGCACCAGTTTTTGCTGGCGAAAACCACCATTTTACCCCCCTCTCGGTTGTTTCATTCAAACGTAGCATGCATAAACAAAGCACATGGTTTTGTGGGGCAACTCTCTTTTTAAATGCCAAATGCAACTCAACTCAACTCTTCTTGTTGAATGGCAACAAAATCATGTATTTTTTCTGTTACAACCGCCTCTTCTTTGAACTGTGTAAAACAGTAGTGATTTTTCAACATTAAATCACCATTAAGCAATGGCGTTCAAAAATCCCTAACAGGGTATACTGTATGTTTCTTCTGTTTCTTCCCAATGACGCTGATGACGCTTAATAGGGGTAACTATCCCAAGACGGCAGAACTGTTCAGGGGAGTGAGTTATTATGATTTATACATAATTATACTTAATTGAGGTTTTCATGGTTAAATCACAACTAAATCACCATTTACCAAAGTTAAAGAATGTTAAATATGCCCAACTAGCCAGAAGTTTATCAAACTTTATATTTATAACTTTTTATAACCATTGAGTCACCAGTCCAGTCACCCGGTGCACCCCATTCAAAATTCTTTGAAAACTAAGATGAATGATTTTATGGTTTTACCAGATTCAATCAACTTGTTTTGGGAGTCTAGCCCTACTCCCATTGATGACCTTGGTTTACAGTATAACTAAATATAACTAGCATGATTTTCATAACCAGACAAGTCTGGTGATGACCGTTTTGAATCTGGTCCCATCCCAGAGATCACCATGCTGAGGCCTGAAATCACCGTGGAGATGCGCGGTTTCCAGTGGCTGGGCGACGCCCCAGCGGCGGGGCACGAGCTGAAACAGGTGCGAACCGGGGGGTGCCATGCTGGGTTCCAAACGTGGGAGACTGCCCGCACATTAAAATGTCATGAACATGTCATCAGCATGTGAAAAACACCTACTGTGGTTTTCGGGATTTTCGGGTGTCTGAAGAAGCGATTCGCGTTTTTTTCTGGGATGGTTTCAGTAAAAACTTGGGGTTTTGAGCAAGCATAATGGAGAAAGAAACTAGTGAGTAACAAAAGATGAATGGTTGGTTTTCCTGGGCTAATGTTTGAGCCATTTTAATGGAGGAAGAACGTAAGTTAATAGCATATGACGCATGATTCCATAGCCAGTTTGCGGGTTACATTACCAATGGGATTGTGAGGATAGGAGTGCCAGAGATGCAAAATGATGCAAACCAGAATATCCCAAAAAATACTAGAAACTAACATTATAATATATTATAATCAGCAGCAAACATTATGTTCTAGAAAAAACGGATCCATGGTTGGTATCGGTATGTTTATATAGATGTTTAATATGTATATGTGGGTGTGTCTGAAAATAGCTATTCATTTATGGCCAAAACGAGCAGCGGATATCGCGACAAACCATTTTTTTTGGGTATCCTATTGCATCCCATTTTCAGATAACCCCATGCATGTACCTATAATATATACAATATATACATATGTATATATATGATATACATATTTTTTGACACCGGCCCATTGAAGCTGTCGCTGCGGCCTTGCATACAGCATGATTTTGCAGCTATAAAGCGCCATTTCGCTCGGATTTTCCATAAGGAACCAGAGGGTGGACCTCGACCAGCTATTTTGCAGGTCGGTGAATTATTGTAATGCATCATATAATACATATATTATGTAATATATATATATTATGTAATATATATATATTATATATATTATATATATTATATTATATCATATTATATATTATATTATATCATATTATATATTATATTATATCATATTATATATCATATTATATCATATTATATATCATACTATATATTATATTATATATTATATTATATCATATTTTTAAATTATATTATATTATATTATATATTATATATTATATATTTCATATTATATATCATATTATCTATTAGGTTTTTTGTATTATATTATATTATATTATATATTATTATAATATATTATATATTATTATAATATATTATATATTATATAATATATTATGTTATTATATTATTAAATTACATTATATTATATATTATATATCATATTATCTATTATGTTTTTTATATTATTATATTATATATTATATGTTCTTTTTTATTACTATATATTTTATTTTTTATTACATTATATTTTACAATATATTTTGTTTTATATTATATTATATTTTATTATAAAATATCTTTTCTATATTATATTATTTATATTATTTTAAATTGTTTTTTTAATTTATTATATTATATTATATTACATTATATTTTTTTATATTATATATTTTTTTTTTATTATTTTATACTATTATGTTATATTATATTTTAAATTATATAATATATGATATATTTTATATTAAATTATATTGTACATTATATATTATATATTTTAAATTATATTATATTCTATATTGTATTAAATATTTTATTTGTATATTATTTATTATATAATATAATATATAGTATTTTATTACATCATATATTATATAGTATATTATATTATATTATATATTATATATTGTACATAATATAGTAGAAATTATTTATTATATATTAGATATTAGATATTATATATTTTATTTTATATATTATATATATTTTTTTATATATATTATATATTATTATTTTTTTATATTTTATATTATATTATATTATATTATATATTTTATTATTTTATATCTTATTTATTATATTAAATTATATATTTTATTAGATATTATATATTATATTTTATATATTACATATTATATATTAGATTATATTATATATTATATTATACTAATATTATATTATATTATATTTTGTTTATTTTATTATATTTTATTATATTATAGTTGTTATTATTTAATATTTTATTATATATTATATTAGTTTTTTGTTATATTTGATATTATTTCAGAATATTTTATATTATATTTCATAATATTTTATATTATATTTTTTTAAATATTTTATATTATATATTTTTTTTTTATTTTATATTATTTCATTATATTTTATATTATGTTTTTATGATTTTATATTATTATATTATATATTTTTTATTATTTAATATATTTTTTTAATATTATATTATATTTTATTATATCATATTATATTTTATATTATATTATATTATGTATTATATTTTTATATCATATATATTTTATATTATATATTTTTTTATTATATATTATATTATATCTTATAGTATATTATATTATATTTTATGTATTATACTATATTATTTTATTTTATATATTTTTTATAGTATATTATATTATATTATATTATATTACATTATGTTTTATTATATTATATTATATAGTTTTTTTTTTAAAAAAATATTATATTACATTAGATATTATATTATATTATATGATATATTATATTATATTATATGATATATTATATTATATTATATATTATATTATATTATATTATATAATATAATATTATATTGTATTATATTATATTATATAGTTTTTTTATGTATTATATAATATATGCTTTGTTTATATATATATATAATATCGATTTATATATATATATATACAGAGTGAAACAATGTAAACTGCGGTCGTATTCCTAACACAGGTGATCAATCAGCGGGAGCTGTTGCCCGACACCATCGACCGCCTGAAGCTGGAGATTCCATCACCTGCCTTGGCGAATGCCTGCCTGCAGAAGGCGTTTGAAAACGGGGCTTGGATGGGTCGCTCATAGGAAATCCATAGGAAACCCCATGGAAATCCAAAATTTGGGAGAAATCCGGTGTGAGATGATCTACGAAGTATTACAATGATTACAAATGGATAGATTTTTGGTCTTCATCACTATTGGCAAGATTGCTTTGTTGTTGTGGGATATTTGAAGTTAGCCATAGGAAGTTAGCCATAGGCCATAGGTGGTTCAGATTTGCATAGATTTGCGCTCATGATATCTCATGATCGTCAAAATCATGAAAAGTGGGATGGAACGCAAAAGGACTACAACCACATGTGGGGTACCTGCCTTCATGATTCTTTGTGTGGAGTGTATTGCAGACCAGGTGCCACAATTTTTAGACCCATACCTATTCGTCATTGGAAGATGAGAGGTCTTGGTTATTTTCCAATAAAGGTGAAAACTGTGTAAGAATATGAGATCTACGTCAGGACTTTTGGATTCACATAAAAAATCCTACAGGGCTCTTCACGACCATTTCCGTGAACCCCCAACATCATGTTGCTTCAGATCTCCAAAACCATCGACATTTTCAGATTTTCCCACGAAACCAGCAGCGGGGCCAGCAGCATGGCTAGGTGCAGATGTCCATCGCTTTCATCCTGAAGTCTGGTAGCAGTCTGGGTACGGAGAAGTCAGGCGCCGGCAGCGATTTTTGGGGGTGGTTTGGGGTGATATGAAACCATTGATATCCATTTATGACATGGTAAAGCAATGTAATCTATCTATCTATCTATCTATCTATTCTAATCTAATCTAATCTAAGCTAATCTAATCTAATCTAATCTAATCTATCTATCTATCTATCTATCTATGTATCTAGCTATCTATCTATCTATCTATCTTTCTTTCTTTCTTTCTTTCTTTCTTTCTTTCTTTCTTTCTTATCTATCTTCTCTATCTTCTCTATCTTCTCTATCTTCTCTATCTGATCTATCTGATCTATCTGATCTATCTGATCTATCTGATCTATCTGATCTATCTGATCTATCTGATCTATCTTCTCTATCTGATCTATCTGATCTATCTGATCTATCTGATCTATCTTATCTATCTTATCTATCTTATCTATCTTATCTATCTTATCTACCTTATCTATCTTATCTATCTTATCTATCTTATCTATCTTATCTATCTTGTCTATCTTGTCTATCTTATCTGTATCTCTATCTCTATATCTATCTCTATATCTATATCTAATATCTATATCTAATATCTATCTATATTATAATATATTTATATATATACACACATATCTATATGTATCTTTATATATACATATGTATATATATATATATCTACATCATCTATATCTATTTTTATTTCTATATCTATATCTATCTATATCTATGTATATATATATATGACAACATACATATGTGATATACATTATGCAACATACGTATGATATCATACATGTGACATAATAAATACGTATATGATACAGTATATGCGTATATTATATACGTAGGACGTATGATGCTATATATATATATGTGTTTTTTTTCCATATGATATCACATCTTTGCGGACACTCAAGAATAAACCCCAACTGGGAATTGGATCTACCACATGTGTGTTTTCGCTTCGAGTATGTGTGTTGTTGGTTAAATCATATACCAGATATTGCCATGTTGTCAAAAATTTGCGCGTTTTTTTGGGCGATATAAATCATGCAATGTGTCTTCTCAGCGTCCCCCATGAGCTCTGTAAAGGTGAGATGCTCCTGAGCGATTACATGCAAAGCGTGCTCGCTGAGAGTTTGGACCTCGGGCCTTCGGTGTGCATCGGCCTTCGGTGTCATCACTTGAACATTGGTTTCTAACTAGGTGACATGAGGATATCATGTTGATATAATGGATATAATGGGGCGATAGCCAACCATATCCAAGTGGGGAATCATAGGTTTCATCAAAGATGGCTAGCTGGGACATCGAGTAAATGGAGGTTTTTCTCGCTGGGAGAATCATCGAACTATGCCATGTTTCGAACTATCCAGAGGGTAAGAATGATCACATGCCCCAGAGATACAATAATTACATGGGTTATGATATGGGTTATAAAATGATATGGGCTATAAAATGATCTTAATTATGGAGCATATCCACTTCTATTAAGATATGATATCGGTTATAAAATGTTATAAACAACTTACAAACTGGGATACACTTATCCAAGTGGCAATGTGGAACCCGCCATGAACGATCCCCACGTATTGGAGGTCTCAACATGTAGAAACTTATTCATTATGACAAGAGGGTTGTATCTCAATTGCGGATAATTTATATTTTTATACCATCTTACATATACCATTCCCAGGTGAAATCCACTTGAAACGGCCCATAATTTCTTACACAAAACCCCACTTTCAATGGATTGTTTTGCTCTCAGCAACCATTTTTGCCCTCTAAAAACCTCTGAAGTCTTACTGTAATTATTGGTTCATAAAACCCTCTCAAGTTGATTGTTGCTTCATAAGAACCGCTCAAGTCTTGATTCTTGGCACCGTCTTTCAACCTCCCCTTGAAACGCCGTCGCAGCTCCTGAAAGCTTCATGCCCACGACTGCGCAGAAAGATGTGTCACCCGGCAGCTAAGGCGGAGTGGCAGTTTGTTTGATATACACATGATTGCTGCATATCCAGTATATATCTATACATATGATTACGCATGCATATATAAATTTATGTGTATATATACGTGTATATATATATATATTATATTCATACAGTTGCACATTTATGTGGTTAGCAGTTTCAATTATCGTTTCTATTCCATTACTCTTGGGAATGATTATTTATCCCTCAGTTGGCTAACGGTAAACCCCTCACCAGTAGCTGAGTACATTTCCGAGATCCCCATCTGCTTTGATCGGTATCCAAGGCATCTTTGGCATGTAGACTCCTTCGTGAAGGTCCTGAAACAGATTGTGAACAAGGCAGGAGAGATCGGGACGTATCCGGACTCGAGGAGTTCGAGTTCTGGATGGAATTTGCCATTGTTCATCCATTAAATCCCCATGATTATCCAAGAACATATCCCCATTGCTGCAACAATTTTTAATCATTTTTCAAAGATCGAACAACATGACTGGGCAAATAGATATGTTTTCCGAACCAGCCCCAAGTCAACGCAGATCAAGTCAGCAAAGATTGCAATTTTATCCCCCTTTTTGGATGCTCCGTGCGGACGCGTTGAACTTTTCAGATGATCAATGTCCACCTGGCTGACTGGTTAGGTACCCAGAAAAGGGCTGAACAGGGCCTGAACAGGGTAAATATGTGTGTATATACAAAGTGCATAAGATTATATCAGCACGTGTGTCTTATTATATTTATACATGGAAATCCAGGATAGTGAATAGTGAATAGAGATTTTAGTTATTATCATTAGGTTCAGAATTCCATAATGATATGAGCCGGGCTCTAAATTGTCGTCATGTAAATTTAGATGGGGCGTTCGCGGCATTTTTTTTTGCTAATGTGGCTTGAAAAGAGTAGGGGACATCTCGAACACAATACCCCCTTTCCCTTACCAAGATTTGATTATGACATATTATGACTACATTCTAGAGCCTGCCTCATCTTTTATAATATACATCTAAAAATATTATGAAAACCATGTAAAGTATATTAAGAAGATAAGATGATATCCATGGTTTCATTGTATAATATGCATCATTTATACGGAAAAAACATCAATGTTTCCATACCTGCCATACCCATAGGATCCATGTATGGTATATATGCTAACATTTGGGGTATATTGATGGTAAATGTTACCATATATAGCATACATGGATCCTATGGGATATTATATCCATGGTTTCCATCATTTTTTCTAGGGAAAAACCATTTGATGCCAGCGACAGTGACCTCGCAGGATCCCGTGGATTGCATGGATCCCAAGCCTCTCGGACAAGTTCGGTGCGAAATACGCGTAGCCACGACTATGGTATGTATTACATAATATATATATATATAATATAATATTATATTATATTATATTATATATATAATTATATTTATTTATATATATATATATACACATAGTTTGGGGGTGCAGTTCCAGCTTTTTTTTGGGATAATATGATATATGAATCTATTTCATAAGAATTATAGGGGCCCCAGATGGGAACTTATGGCATTATGGGGGTTAGTGTCATAGTTATACACACGAAAATCACCCCAACTGCACCCCCCAGTACTGCTGGTTGAGACATCAATTCTCTCGACCTCCTTTCTGCACCATGGGTGTCACTTCGTTACTTCTTCAACTACCACACATCATTGGGCAAATGTACCCAGATGATTATAAAATGATGTACAGTATGATAATATATATATATATGTATATATACCATATATGCTTCTTGGAGACATTTAATTTGGTGCCCTTGGTTCTGCCCGAGAAGCTGGTCAAAATTTTGGTTGGCCGAGGTTTTAAGGATTGAAAGCTAGCATGAAAACAGGCTACCCCGAAAAGGTCATTGGTGAACATATGGTGAAAATATAGTGAACAGGTTTTAATCATACGTTTCTCATTTTCTCTCGTCTTCCGTCATGTAAACTGACCACGACCATTCCGGGAATTTTCGCAGGTACAAGGAAGAGTTGCCGGCTGACCTGAAACAGAAACTGCTGGATGTGAAGGAGAAACTCCCAGATCAGTTCGTTGACCTGCACCTTGGACCCCGGATCTGGCCAGTTGGGGTGTTAAGCAAACACAATAGGGATGTAGAAGGATTTATATGGACATAATAGGGACACAATGGAGATGCAATGGCGATTTGATGGGGATATGATGGGGATATGATGGGAATGTCATGTCCATCATTTTCTTGCCCCAAGTTCTATCCGGTGAATGGAGGGAGCCGTGAGCTATGGTTGTAAAATGTGGAGCCACTGACCTACTGAGACGCACGAGTTTCCCAAGCACACGATAGAGTTGGCCAGTTGGGTTTGCTGAAAATGCAGCATACCCGCAAAATATCTCAAAATTACATTTTTTGGGGAAACCTGATGGTTAATCACTCAAAATAGAGGCACCCTATTATTCATTTGCAAATGATCGAAAATTGAGGTGACACCTATTTTATCTGTTTCTGGACACACCAACAGAAATGGAGATATAATGGGGATATGTTGGGAGTGCAAGGGGGATATTTCATTTGACATACTGCAATATAACTGATGAGAGTAAAGTACATACAACGATGTCACCACATTGAGTCAACGAAAATGATGGTTATCAAGGGATATTTAATTATCCTCAGATGAACGTATTTCAGGTTTGCAAGTGCCATGATTTGCGCATAGCTGCAATGGGTATATGATGCGAATATAATGGGAATATGTCATTTGATGTATGGTGATAGAAGTAATCAGATGATGTGGGTTTGTCTGAAAATGAGGCATACCATCAATTTGTAGCCATTTTTCAAGAGACTATCCAGGGGATGGAATGGGGTAATCCTTTTTGAACAAACCCATAATTAAGTAATTGGGGCTTTATCTGTTTGGCGGATTATATGATGGTTTATAAACCAAACACTTCTTGAGGCGGGTCAAGACTCCAAGATTGAAGACTTTAAAAGCCATAGATTCTACTGTATGAATTGTAAGCAATTCTTTGAAATGTGGTGCCCCCAAGAAAGAACTTAGTTCACCCAGTTCAAGCAGGGCTTCATTCTTGGATTTCCAACATATATGGGATGGAGGTTTCTTGAAATGGGGGGCCCCCCATGACTTCGGAAACCTCCATAGAGTTGTTGGAGAAACCACAATTATTGATGGTTACCGGCGCTGGGGGGATGAATCAAGGGTGGAGTCCTTGGGGATGGCTATATAATGTTTACGGCAGATGAATATATCTTGGTACTTCTGCAATAATTACTGGGTAAAGACCTGACAACTGCCAAGGTTTGTATCTTAGTATATACCATCTTCACATGATAATCAGATATATAATAGGTAGACATATCGTATACTACTATATGCAATTATCATAATTGTGATTACTACACTGTTATTGGGCCTATATGATTGGTTAATAGTTGATACTCAACAGTTAATAGTTATATAATAGTTCACAGTTAATAGTGGTTTACCATTGACCCAGTAGCCATTAGTATTAACATGTATTACTTATTTTAACATTACATACTGTATTATTGTTACAATGTTACGATGAACTATGATATGGGAGTATCAACTATTAACTACTGTATGTACCGTACCATTGATATAAACTGTTAACCATAACATAGATGTGGAAAACCGACCATTTGTAGAAAACAACTCCTACAGTAGGGTTTCACCATGGCTTTTCCACATCTATGCTAGTTTACCCTAGGGAAACTAATCATATTAATGGCTACTGGGTCAAATGGTAGTTCTATCAATAGTTAACTTTTAAACTATTAATAGTTAAAGCTTATATCCCATTAAATCACCATTTTTCATAGGGGAAAACCCATGAAATCACAATGAATTATGAATAATTTTAACCGGTCAATGCCAATAAACAATTCTTAACTGTTGACTAGAACTCTAGTTCTATGATATACATTACTAGTTATATACAGTACTATAGTTTAAAACTATGAACTCTTTGGGACTATGGCCTGTTGGTGAGGCTGGGCAGCTTCGGCGAGACGCGGCTCACTGAGACGTACATCGGTGTGGACTATGCCGGGGGACCCGGGACCGGGGTTGGCCGTTTTTTCGGCCAGGCATGGCCAATTCCATGGGGGTTTCTATGGGGTACCCCAATATCTGGATGCTTAATGGAAAATCATGGAGAATCCGAAAATGTAATGAATGATAAATGGGGTATCTGACTTAGGACACCTCCATATCTGAAAAACTGTAGAAAAAATGGAAGATGTTAAAGAGTTTGAAACCATGGAATGGCTGCGCTCTCATCAAACATTGCGATTGATGGGAAGCCCCAGCACTAAATGGGCATTATGAATTTACTGTAACTGGGAATTCATTGAACTAAATGGGGGATTTTTCTTTGCCATGTTTGATTACCAGAGGGTAAAGCAAACACACGCACACACACATTTTTGAGGCGGGGATGCGTGGAACCACTTTCCACTTTTTGTTGCAGGGGTCCTGGCAGGGGTCCTTCTATTTTGAAAGGTATGAAACGTGGGTAAATCTCCTTGGGTCAAGAACTATGATTTTTCACGCCTTTTTCTCTGAGGTGTTGAACAGACTACTCCGGGGTTGATGTTAAGTTGGCAACATCCCTTGCTCCTTGGGGTGCTGGCAGTTGGGGATGGGTAGAAAAGGTAAAGTAAAGAGTAGCAAAAAGTAGCAAAGAGTTACTACTAATTACACCCCTGAGCTATTTGAAGGTCCTGTTTGATAATCATGTAGCATCAAGATATTCTTTCCTCGGAGTCTCAAAGATCATCCAACCTGTTGAGCCAGGAGATACTGCCGACTCTTAATGGCATTCGAGATGTGTTAGAGATCAACGATGAGATCTTCGAGGACAGCGACTGGTGAAGTCAATGTCTTCCACATTTTTTCTGGGCCCAGAAAGCAAAGGGATAGGTCAAAGAACATATGTGAAACATATGTGAATCTGTATCTATTTGTATGGTATGTATATATATATTGTGGATATTGATATATTGTGTAATATGTGTAATAGGTGTAATTTTGTAGAGTAATGTAATACAATCTAATGTAATCCAATGTTTATAAATTGTATAACTATTTAAATGTATATACTGTAATGCAAATGTAATTTGAATATATTTTAATGTAATGCAATGTAAATGTACTGTAATTGTACTGTAAAGGTAGTGTAAACATAATGTAAATGAATGTAAATGTAAATGTAATGTAAATGTATGTGAATGTGAATATCACTGTACATGTAAATGTACCTCTAAATGTAAATGTACATGTATATAAATGTATGTAGATATATTCATGCAGTATATTACATGCTGAATGTATACAGTATATATATATATACAGTGTGTATATATATATACAGTGTGTATATATATATATTTGAATCCCCGTTGAAATTCCCCCTATGGATTGGTTGGCCTAAAGGCCCATATACGCCCGATTTTTAGGGCCATTTTGTAGGAAATCACTTTACCTGGGCCAGCCATTTTGTAGCATGTACTAATTTGAAAGGCTTCAAGGCCCATTTCACAGGAAATTTTGTAGGGAGTTGCATGCACCTTGTCATATTGTAAGAGCAGCAAAATAGATGATTTAGGCATAAAAGCACTATCATGTAGAAATCTCAAAATGCAGTTTGAAAACTTGGCTGGGTTGGGCCATTCATTTTGTAAGGAATCACTTTGTTGATTAAGGGGTCATTTTGTAGGGAGTTGGTGCTATTCTCGAAAAACGATATGCGCGCCAAATTTGGGCAGGGATTTTTGGCTGTTGCATCAAGCCTCATGCATTGGCTTACAAAATGGGAGTGTGTTGCCAGGATGGTCTGATGTGCTGTGTTTTTTGCACAAGTCATCCAGGCACTTTGTAAGACCGTGTAAGGCTTGAATTGCTATGCAGATCTATGCAGGATATCCTTGAAGATATAATATAGAATTATCGATGGAAGCTGAACAATTCGTGGTGCACTTGGTGCGCATTCTGCACCCCATCATTTTGTAGGGCTTATGTGGTGACACCCCTTCATCAACAATCTTGGTCGCACAATATTGTTGATTGCTTTGCTTTAGTATAGGCATTCAGGGCACCACCAAATGCAAGAACATCGTTGCATCTCAGCATTGCTGTGAAGAAATCCTGCCACGGGCGGCCTTGGACAAGAATATCAGCAAGGAAAAGCTCAGCCGCATGAAACAGAAGGCCGGGACCAAGCACGCATCGCTTCCACACAGAACTGGCCATGTCGCCGCGCAACCGAGGTCGACAGAGAAGTCTTCGACAAGAGAACAGCGGGATAACTCGAAGGGAGACCCTTCTCAAGGCAGGGCCTAGGAGCGGCCGCGGTTGGTTGCCGTAGGTGGAAGAGAAACTGGCCAAATCTTCTACGCGAAGAAGCCTTTGACGGAGTCACCATCGGCATGGGCCCTGTTGGCTGCCGCGCCCCATAAGCAAGGGGCATACGCACGTATGCCTTGGCTGTTTCCCCAAGCTCCTTTAAGGCTTGCCCTCCAGGCCTAGAAGTTTTTGCTGCTGGTATAGTTGCAGGGAGCGTGCTTGGGCAGCGGTATATCCGATAGTGCCTGTGCTTTGAATAACGAAGGATGGGAAAACTTACTTTAGCTCCAAGCTGTCAACGTCCTCCGGGCTTACCCGTCCATCCAGGACGCTAATGGTTCTCTTGCGTACCCCAAGCCGGTTTGTGCCTTGGCCTGGCCAAAGATGTAGGCAGGGCAGGTCCAAATAAAGCAAGCAAAAAATGTTGCGGGTCCACAAGTTTTTGTCCGCTGATGGAAAAAGTTCCCGATAGAAGGGGCAGCCTAACCTCGCGCGCAGGCTGGAAATTTGCCAAAGAGATTGGCCTTCTACCGCCGCATGCCAGACCAGGCACCCCTTGCCTATATGATTTTTGGCAGAAGAGAGGTGTTATCCCGACGATGACATGACGTACCTTTCCAAAGGCATGATGGCGGTGAAGGGTCCAACATGGCGCAACTTGGGGGACGCAAGTTGCGCTTAGCATGCGCAACTTGGTCCTGTGTGGGGGCATCTGTCGCCGAAGATGGGCCCATTGCACGGCAGTTAGGCTTGCGCCATCTTGCGCCCTC